GTATATGCTCGCTTGTTTATTAAATCTACGGAATCATATGGGAGAAGCTGGAATTAGACTAACCTAGTCGAGGTTCCGTAGAGATAATATTCGTGTAAGATTTAAGGTTCAGTCGAACCAACGCGTGCAGCCGGCATGCCTTCAACTTTATTATTATTGACCTTTTTTTTTCAAGTAGATCAGACTAGTGGCATGTTATGATTAATTCATTTTTAATTATGTAAAACCCTTTTAACAGATCCTACTTACTATTTATCTAGGCTTTATTACATCTACGATTTAAAAAAACAGAAACGTCAAAGCGACAAATTGCGCAATGATCGCTGATCGCTGCGTGCAGACGCTGCATAGATCGCCGCGACCAATGACAGGACGCGTTGATGTGAACTCATCGTTACAAATTCATACACGCTGTCTGGTCGCCATCGCCATCGTGCACGTCGGCTGCACGCGTTGGTTTGGCTGAACCTTTAGGTAGATAGGTCATAAATACAACCTTGCTGAATTAAGATATGACTGCCTAAATCACAACCTATGTTACAGACATTTATTTAGACAATTGCGAGAGCAGAGGAGCATATTTTATGAGGCTCTACGCCCGTGAAGGCTGTATCTACAATCTTGGGTATTTCATCTCGTCAGTGGCTGAAACCTACATTATTAATGTGTAGTTATAAGACCTAGGTAAGGGCCTTATTTCATATGACATCAACCAACATTTCGAACTCCTATGTTCTTCTGATTAATTTCGTTGCGGGTCCAATGACAGTTTAACTTTCCCCCGGGACAAACTTGACCGCCATTGGTTGGATTTTTAAGGCGGTCAAGCTGTAGATCCTGGCTACACAGGAGTTGCAGTGGTGGGAACGAGAGGTGGGAGGGAATAGTCAGGTTTAAAGAACTTTATTCTCATAAGAAATTTTACATTTAGTACCTAAAATATTTAATAAATAAGTTACAAATTAGGCACTGGTACTGTGTAGGTACGTATGACATCAATCGCAAAATACATCTAAGTGCCTTTTTTCTGTGATTCGGGATTAGTTCGCATTTCATTATTTCATACAATGTTTTTTCTATTACGCGGGCTACACGCACGCGGAACGCAGTTTGGCTGCGGGCACACAATATGAAATCTTGTCCTCCGTGCAACCAGCAGCGTGATTTCACACGCACGCGAACCAGAGGGCTTCGAGTAGGCGCACACCGTTGATTTTTCGTCGGCCGATAGTTTAGTCGGGCAGTTGATCAGTATGGGCATGTATGGGAGTGCGCACACTACGCCGATTCGATTTGGCCGATTCTTCATACAATTTAAAATCGGACACAACTATCGGCCAACTAAAAATCAACGGTGTGTGTCTTAGTGTGAGTTTATATCAAACGTCCTCACTAGTGAGCGCGTAAAAAAAATGACAATTTTAGTTCTCGAAAGTTTCCGCTATGGGCACTGTACAATCCGTCATACATTAATGTCATTTTTACGCGCTCACTAGTGACGACATTTGATGTAAACTCACACTATGCCCTCAGATCCGCACGCGTACCGAAATTCTCATAACAGGAAAAAGGCACTAATGGCAGTCGTTTTTTGCATGTATATTAATGCCTGAGGATCCCCAAAACCTCGTACATAAACATTTGCTCAGCAACGCTCAATATCCGCTGATCAATTTATGGAAATACACGACTTGAGCGCGTGATGTGAGATCAAGTAGAAGAGTTGAGATTTTTCTTAATATTGGACGACTTATGAAAGGAAAAAATATGCCTGTATAAAGAAAATTGATTATCATTTTGTTGAACATTATTTTAAGTGTAAGGACAACAATTTAAGCTCTACCAAATGAAGGTATAAGCGAAAAAACTATTGTTTCGCGTTCAGTAGTTTGATGTTTGAAACATGTTTTTTTCTTAACACTAAAAGAAGCTCCTATTCGCATTTTTTGGCTTTTTCGCTTCTACCCGCGTAGTGAAAATTACCCACAGATCACATATTTAACGTCATATTAGTAGGTACTACGGATAGACCGTATATGTATAAATCGAGAATAATGTACTTTTTAACACGCTCACTGCGTTATGAGGTCTAAAAAGCCACATGCAGAACTTATCGCAGGTGCGGCAGTCATAATCGCGTTCTCTCACTCTGTGCGGGGGGCGACTATTTTAACATTTCTATGAGTACAACAGAGACAAATATATCAAATTGCTTCTCTTACGAAGCCTAGCATAATGACGTAGACAATATTGTATGAGGTCGATTAGGTCCCATACGCACTGGATAGAAATTAATCACGTTCAGTGCGCCGTGAGGTCTGAACTGCCTCAAAAATTGCAGGCCTCATAACCGCACAGGGTGAGGCGCGGGCGCCGCGCATTTAGAGTAGTGATGTGATAAGTTTCGATACGGACGCACGCTGTTAGCCGGTGACACATTAACACTGACTTTTTAACTAAAAATGGCATTTGTATACACTTAACGCACGTATTTATTTCAGGTATTCCTAGTGGCAGATAATATTAATAAATATTTTTGGACATTTTACACTGCGCTTCTAGTCCCAAACTAAGCAAAGCTTGTACTATGGGTACTAGACAATGGATATAAACATACTTAAATACTTTTTTTTTTGTAAATAGGTACATACATATTACTATACATAGAAAACACCCAGTCCAATACAAACAAATATGTTCATGCACACAAATACTGTGCGGGAATCGAACTCGCAACCTCCGGAATAGTAGTCCGTTTCGAACCACTACACCAAACGGCCGACAATGATGTGCTGAACATTCGCTTAAAAAAGGTGGTCAATGAAAGCGCTGCGTAGGTTGCTACGACAGATTAAGACTAACACTAAATAGCACTCAGGCTGCAAAAAACACTAAAAAAAATTTAACTTTTGTGTTCTATGTGACAAATCCTACTGTTTGCCCTGTTTTAATGAAAAACATTTTAATTAAAAACAAATATTATGATTTTATGGTAACTGAAATTTTGTTTTATTCCCATCCCTAGTCAAGACACAAATTGGACTTTCTTTCAGTGCGAAATGAGGCAGAAAAGATGTCATATATATATTTTTAATTTATTCAATACCAAAATGTCATAACTGCGGGCGAAGCTAGTTTAAGGTTAAACATCTATTTAAGTTTATAATAGAAAAGTTTCAAGCCAATATTGTCTTTTCTGAGCTATATTTAAAGTATTTTTAGAAACAATATTTTGTGAGGCAGAAAAGGTCTCATACGCACTGTAAAGAAGTTCAATATTGACTCGAAAAGACCTCATACGCACTGGCTGAAAGTCTACGAAAAATGGTTCCGCAGTGAGCGTGTTAAATAGTGAACATTTTTTCAAAAATGCGCTCTCTCTTTATTCTCTCATTTTATGGACTTATTACAGACACAATATTTCGTATCCTAAAACCCTCTACATCACTTTAAAACTACACTTCAATTCACTCAGACTCCATTTTTTGCTGACGGCACCAACAATGACGTCAAATGGATAGGGCGCTGCAAATTGACGATATTTGCTGACTGTACGCGATTACAATAGAAGTAAGCATGGTAGGCTCATTGCCAGAATAAAATTATTCTGTGACAATAGCCGAATAGTGAAGGTGTCGAAGTCGAAGAATCCGCGGAATGGCCGATGGTTCGGCTCTCGACGCCGCTCAACTATTGCGGTGAACTCATGTTACTATGGTGGTAACTATTGTGGTAACACAAGCATATTTAGTTTAGTACGAGGGGTTTACGGGACTATTAAATTGTAAGTATGCTTTAGATATATTCCCACTATTACGCGAGATAATAACCCCTGAAATTGGATCGAGATCTTAAAATTGGACACCACTACTAAATACCCAATTTATTTATTTATTTATTTATTTATTTATTTATTTATTAGGTCTACCAACATTGTTACATTACAACATGTACACTTAAAAATTACAATTATGAACAAAGTTACAATGCAACAACAATTATAGGCTGACACAACATGCAATATATATTCAATGCAGTTTGTTCCGAACCGTTCCATGCACACAAAAAAAAACACTTAATCGTATCAATAATAGTAGAATTTTGATTTAAACATGACTTATCTTATAAGTAGGTACCTACTTACTTACTACAAATGCAAAATAAGTTTCATTTACTAAAAAAAAAAAAAGAAACAAAAAACGGTTACCATAGCTCAATCTGACACAAACAGTTGAGACGCCACAAAGGAGTACAGTTTCCTNTTCTAAAATCACGATCGAATCTAAGGGACTCACACTGATCTAAAAAGCTTATTGCTTAACCTTTCAGTATAGTTAGTTTGCACGCATCCCTGTTAAGTTTTTCAAAAAACGTAAAATAAATCCCGCGGAATAAAATCGGCGGATCTACCCAGAGACATCAAATGAATTAAAATGGGCAAGCTTGTAAATAAATAATTTTATTATGACTGTTTTAACTGGAAGTCCATCTATCTCACTCAAGAGTCCCGGGTTCGTCTCCCAGTGGGGGGAAATATTTTCTACTCAGTTTGGTTTGTGTTAACTATCGCTATTTTTTACTATGATAACTTCCACCTTCGGATGAGGAGATGCTGGCCATAGACGACAGAGTATGTCTAATGCAGGTTAAGCCTCACAGATGGCCAAGAGCATGATGCATGCTGATTAAGCTGCTGGCTGATGCATGCCCGCATGCCCGTTGTGGCAAAAAAAACCTAAAAAGTTTGTCAAAGGGATACATTATTTATTATGCTAGGTAGGTAACCCTATACTTAACCATTTTTTTTACTTGCAGCTATAGCATCATCGCATCGATGTAATTTACAATCAATGGGTATTAATATTCTAATGATATTATTTTTACAATACTAATATCACATTCTTATTAAATTATAAATTGAATTATATTTGATTCGGAACATTAGCACGTGTCGTTGTACTGTCACTGTCAGATTCCAAGTTTGACGTGACGACTGACATCATTTGACATACTTCATCTCTTCCTTCCAGGAGCACCGGTTTGTTGTAAAATTGTGAAAATCTTTGAAAAATGTCTCCTGAAGAAACTATAGAAAGATTTAAACTCTTAGGCTTAAGTGAACAAAAGGCAAAAGAAACCTTGAAGAATGTAAACGTCACGAAGTTCTTACTCTCAGCGATTACTGAGGTTAGTGAATTTTATTTTTAGTCCTTTTTGTGTAATATTCCGGGATTAGGTTACATATCCTGTATATTGTAAGTATTTTGGCACAAAACTTAATAGTTTTATTAATTCTGCTAACCCTTATACCTTTCAGATAGACATCCAAAGCCTGCCAGCTGGTGCTGGGATGTTGATATATCATTTAGCGACTAAAATCAAACCCCAAATTTCATCAAAACTATCATTTGTCTGTAAATATATTTCAAGTAGTAAACTTGACTCGACTTTGCGTGTAGATGCTGCCCTAGAATATCTCCTGAGTATAGTGAATGAGGCGAATGTAAACGTTGAAGCATTTGAAAAAGCTTGTGGTGTAGGTGTTGTGGTGACACCAGAGCAGGTCGAGCAAGCTGTGGAGAAACATATGGCCAAGTACAAGGATGAATTGTTGGAGAAAAGATATCGTTTCAATTCTGGCATTGTTATGCAGGCTGTAAGAGCTGATTTGCCTTGGGCTGATGGAAAAGCTATCAAGAATGAAGTTGATGTGCAGGTCAGATATTAACTTAAATAATAATATTTGTTTATTTCATTCTTAAACTTTATTTTTATGGTTATTGTTTCAATGACAAGTTTGTTTGATCAGCTGCATGCAAGTCATTGTTTCAAATTGATTAATTGTGTTTAAACAATTTAATAAACATGTTTTATTGTTAATTATTCCAGATATTAGACCTATTGGGTCCTAAAACTGAAGCCGATCTAGCCCCTCTACCAAAAACTGATAAAAAATCGAAAGGTGGCGATGCTGGCAAAAAAACTAAAAAAGAGGATAACAAATGTATGTTACATAACATTGTTAATATTATAAAACTGTTTTTTATCAATTCTTATTTCTTTTTAACATTTCAGCTTCTAAAACTGAAAAACCAGAAGCAAGTGGTGATGTCGGTGGAGCAACTTCTATAGCAGAGCTCATGAAAAAGTTACCTTTCCATGCTCCAGGAGAAAATTATAAGTCTGATGGTTATGTTGTGACACCAGATACAAAAAGATTACTCGAGGAACATTTAAAGATAACTTCTGGTAAAGTTCGAACAAGGTTTCCTCCTGAGCCCAATGGTATTCTTCATATAGGACATGCTAAAGCCATCAATATAAACTTTGGATATGCTGCTGCCCATGATGGTATTTGTTTTTTGAGATATGATGACACCAACCCAGAGAAAGAAGAGGAAAAGTTTTTTGTTGGTATTAAAGATATGGTTGAATGGTTAGGTAAGCAAATTCTTTTATTTATGTTTGATAAGGAAAAACTTCAAAGATTTGGGAAGGTTTTGATAAAACATTTTTATTTACAGGGTACAAGCCATACAAGATAACTCACTCTTCAGACTATTTTGATCAACTATATGAGTGGGCTGTACAACTCATCAAAAAGGATATGGCATATGTGTGCCATCAGAAATCTGAAGAAATCAAGGGCTTCAACCCTCCTCCTTCACCATGGAGGAATAGGCCTATTGAAGAAAGTTTACAACTGTTTGAGGTAAGTAATATTATGGGGTGCTTCTAACAGATTTTTGCTAAAATTAAATGCTGTAACATAAGTCTTAAATTCTATTTGATATTTTGGAAAGACTATTTTATACTAATTCTGGTTTTAAGTTCTTTAGTTATTTGAATTTAAATTAAATTAACTCTTTTTGGACAGAGCTATGCACTTTTTTGTGTCGAATTGTATTTAACAAATAAACCTTTGTTGAATAGGATATGAAAAATGGTAAAATAGATGAAGGTGATGCGACTTTGAGAATGAAGATCACATTGGAAGAGGGAAAGCAAGACCCTGTTGCGTACAGGATTAAGTTCAAACCTCATCACCGCACTGGCAGTAAATGGTGCATCTACCCTACTTATGATTACACCCATTGTCTCTGTGACAGTATAGAACACATAACACACTCACTGTGCACAAAAGAGTTCCAGTCTAGACGGTGTGTATTTCAGGCTATGTCATACTTTTTTGGTATTTGTCTAAATTTTTTTGAGTGAAACAAATGCTGTGCTGTGTTAATCACTGTTTTTTCAATATGTACTAAATTAGTAGATAAATATTTATGTGAATTTAATTTATTTCAGCTCTTCATACTACTGGTTATGCAATGCACTCAACATTTACTGCCCTGTCCAATGGGAATATGGAAGACTCAATGTGAATTACACTGTGGTGTCTAAGAGAAAGATTGCAAAACTCATCACTGAGGGGATTGTTAATGGTAAACTTAATTTTGATACTATGCACATTCAATCAGTAAACATAATGTTTGTGATTTAATATAATACACTAACTAATTTTCAATAGAAAAAGTACAAATGTGTTTAAAACACACATGGTACGCAAAGCTTACAAGCTTAGTTAGAATAGATGGCGCTGTGTTAAATTGTCAATAATATTTATTTACCTATTTGATTTATGGTAACACTAGGTAGTAATTATGTAAAAAAAGTGTAAACTTAAACTTCTTAGATTATTATCCATCCAGGTTTGATACAAAAATATTTGAAGTAATAACAATTTTTCTAAATAGTGAATTGTAAAAGTCAACCTTAAATAACCCTCCTTCTGGCGCAGTCGGGTAAAAACAAAAGTAAAGGTATATCAATGTTATTTCAGACTGGGACGATCCTCGCTTATACACGCTGACGGCGCTCCGGCGGCGCGGCGTGCCTTCGGCGGCCATCAACACCTTCTGCGCCGGGCTCGGCGTCACCGGCGCCGTGGGGGCCGTCGACCCCGCCGTTTTAGATGCTGCTGTCAGGGACGCGCTTAACGCGACTGCTCCAAGGTAACTTGGTCATAGCACACTTATCAACCCGGACACGGATCAACACCGTATCGCCTTTCGCCGCGCTGTCAACTGCTAGGCGAAACTTTTACGTTACGGTGCGGATAAGTGTGCTACGGAGTTTCATACCGCCTCGAGTTGATACGGTTACGATCCGTTTCCGGTTTGATAAGTATGCTTCTTTCTATTTTTGTCATCTCATATTGCAGTCCAATGATAAACGTGAGCTCCATTGTTTCCAATACCAGACAATGTCCCTTCTTGGCATTGGTATTTGGTGATCGGTAAAGCGGTAGGGGAAACGGCACTGATGATGTGGGCGTCGCTAATCATGCTCAACACCGCCATTGTTTGAGTTACGATTGTATAAAATAAACGTTTTAAAAAGCACTGCTAATTCTTTGAACAGCAAAAAAATTATTGGTGAATAAAAAGAGTATTATCAAATGACTCTGTCAGAGATATGTCCTAAAGTTGGACTTATTGTAAAAATGAAATTATTTTGTTGAGTAACTACTTGTTTCTTTTTGTTACAGAGTTATGGTTGTTCTTGAACCCTTAAAAATTACGATCACCAACTTCCCAAGCGACAAGCCGATAAGTGTGAGCGTGCCAGACTTTCCTAATGAGCCAGAGAAGGGATCGCACAGCGTAGTTCTGAACAAAGTTGTGTATGTCGAGTCGACTGACTTTAAGCAAGAACCTGAGAAGGGATATCGACGACTGACACCGTCGCAGTCGGTTGGGTTAAGACACGCTGGATATGTTTTAAAGGTGCGTTTGTTTCTAGAGCCTTTTACTGAAAAAAAAAATTGTGGGACCTATATTCCCTCCCACTGCCGTAACACAATAATTTATTTAAAAAATCTAAAATAAGCTAGGATATATCTCAGAGTAAAAGCGCCACATATTTTCACTCTTTTCTATTTGAGGTCAAATTATAACAAAAACGTCTTATGCAATGAATATGATTTTAGGTATCGAAAGTGATCAAAGACAGTTCCGGCAAAGTATCAGAGTTGGAGTGCACGGCCGAACCTTCTGAATCCGCCGATAAACCCAAAGCTTTCATTCATTGGGTATCTCAACCAGTCGAAATCGAAGTTCGCCTTTATGAGCCATTGTGAGTAAAACAAATCTATCAAACATCTAATTTCTGTCTAGTGCAGCTTAGTATTAAATACAATTTCTAAATATTTTATTTCAAGGTTCAAGCACAAAAATCCAGAAGATCCCAATGAAGTGCCTGGTGGGTTCCTCTCCGACTGCCGTGAAGACACTTTGAAGGTGGTTCAAGCATTTGCTGACAGTTCCATCAACAAAGCGAAGGTGTATGATAAGTTCCAGTTTGAAAGAATTGGATTCTTCTCTGTGGACCCAGATACATCTTCTAAACATGTAAGTTCATTAATGTACTGTACAGTTTGCGATAGATATTTTCTTGTAAATGTTGCAACGCTTAAACGCCGCTCTATGTTATGTGCTTTGTTTCTTTATGATGTGTTGGTCTGCATACTTACGCCAAATTCCTTGAGAGATATTTTACATTCGGGGAAAAAATCATTCCGCATAAAAAGTAACTTATTAACTAACAAATAAGCTATTAAAAAGCGCTTTTACACGTCCCATTATTCCTTTAACCCTACCACAGTGCCACAAAGTGCTGAGAAGAAGCAGTGCGAGTAACTCAATTAGCATTACATACTTATTAAACTGTGATTAAATCAATGTCTGGTTAAGGATTAAGTTTATCGCTTTTATTTACGTCGAATGCTTTTTTTATCCAAAAATAATTTACATTGTGATACAAGTAAGTGTGTGTTACTAGTTTTGTTTTATGCCTTTTTTCATCGTTCAGATGTTACTTAAGTTGCTTAGTTGTATAATATTTTAAACTTGCTTGCATGTCGTGGGTGAAAGTTAACCTTATGGTAGAATTAAAAATAATATAAGTAGGATATGCTGAAAATAAAGTGTCAAGAGATGCATTTTGAAGAATTACACTTGAATGCTCTGTTCACTGTGCAACTTCATACATCAAGTCACCTCAAAATTGTTTGCATTTATTGTTCGCTCACATCATTAAATACATAGACAATTCAGTATGAATTTGCAAAAGTTAAAATTTTATTTTTGTAAGTGCGATTCATGTATTATTTCAAATTATTTTGATTGTTTCAGATCGTTTTCAACAGGACTGTTTCTCTGAAAGAAGATACGGGAAAATAAACTTTGTTTTAATGTAAATGTTTGTACGTTTATACAAAAGAAAAATGATTAAATAAATTATTTATTAAAGATATATTTTTTTCTCTTTACCCTTGATTACGTCACGTAGCTCAAAGCGTACCGACCAAATTTCGCCGTTTGAAGCTGTAATATAATAAATTCTTCATAAGGTCACGTAGATACAGTTATTTTCCGCCATCCCTAGTGTATTAAGGCTTACGCGGAAAATAGAGAATAATTTATCTGGCCCACCAGTGCCAATAGTAAATTCTTGAATTCATACAAAGTATGGTATTATAAACTTGCTTGAGTGATAATAATAATAGCTATGTCGTCGTTTTGAAAAGGTTTGATAAATACGAGTAGGTACACTCATAATTTAACAAAGCTCCTGATTTTAAGTCATTGATTTTCTAAAATTGTCTCTTTGACGTTACGATTTTGTGCTACGCGTGCCCAAGAGTTCAAATCGGAAAATCCTTATGATAAGACATCAAATATGTTTTGTTTTAACGTATTATTTAGTGTGATTTGATTATATTAAATTATAGAATATATCCTCTTTAAAGTTAGATATATTTGCTGCATAAACATAAAATATTTCAAACTAATAGTCTGTTCCGAAAATCCTGGATTAGGCACGCTCGGCAATGTTTACTATGTTCATTGAGCGGACATACATGGACTTCGGTTAAAGTTTCAAGTGGATTATGGAACTTTAAGATTGTAAATGCGGCCAATTCAAACAATTACCTTTGTATTGACATCGGTCTGATAAGTTATACAATCGAATCGACAAAAGAAAGTTATACAATCATCAATTTAGTTGTGTGCAAATTGGTAAGTAATTGACCTTTAAAAACCAATTTACTTACAAACCGAGTAAATATTGAATAACCTATGTTGAATTCCAGGCATGTTGAAAGGTTTCGTATTGTGTGCGCGGCGCGGGTTCGGCACCGTTGGGCGGCCGGCGGCAGTGCGGCGGCGCGGGTTATCGAGCGTGGGCGGCGCGCATGCCAGTACCCGAGCCTCCATACCGCGATATGCACTACCCGCTCGCATCTCCTGCTAAATCTCTACTCTCGCTACATCCCAAAGTGACGTGTCGCGGGCGAACGATGTAGAAACCAGCGGGAAGCCCCATTTAAATTTAAGGTAAGCGATGTTTTTTACATTACTTAACCCCTAACACTGCTCTAGGGAACGGCATTTTTCTAGTTTTCTCGTCCTCGATATTCATTAACATAGTAAAGGAAAGTGATTCAAGTGCGTCACGTTGACGTTTTTATGACGTAATCAACTAAAATAAAACAATCATACCTGAAGATACTCACAATAGACATGCCATTCACAGCTAGGGAAGGGGGAAAATAACATTGAAATAGAAGTATTTGTAGCAATTTATAACTAGTTATGACATACCTGTATTTTTTATCGTGAATAAACTATGTATATTGAAAGGTTGTTATGTACCTTATGCACTAGGTTTCTAGGTGCCTGCGTACTCATTTCGGTACTTTATATTTATCTAATATTTGACCATTTTATGTTTGAATATTTCATATGGAAAGGAGAAACAGAAAACTATGCTCTTTTAAAATTTCAACTCTCGTAACGGTGTAAATTTCGATTATAAAGTATCAATGAAATAATAAGTATCACATTGTTATTACTAATAAGTTTTCATTATTCCCAACTATGTAAGGTGTTGCAATACTTATACTAATCGTCCTGTACAACAGGTTACATCTATCACCATTTGTATTACCTAAACATCTACACACTGTAAAATCACGCACGCGTATTCGGAATATTGTAACGATTTTTTGGGAGTATTGTTATTGTGTAAAAGAACGAATACGTTTTAAGTATTTTATGATACTTTAATAAACAAATAAATTATATTTCAAATATAAGATACGGTAATCGTTTCATGATTGGAAAAACATCTTGAGCTAAAAGTTCTTGAAATCTATTTTCCGTTTCGATCCCAGATCGTGATCGCTTCGAAGTTAGGTTATTCCCAAAGGTCCACAGTACTATTGTTTTCAAAATATGTAAGTTCGTACTTTGATTCCCAACGGGTCCACAAAAGAATTTTCTATCCCAGAGGGTCCATTAAAATATTTTAAAAATAATTACAAAATTGCTCTTAGTACTGTGGACAAGTCTCGTGAACCATTCATATTATGAAATTTTTTCTAATTTCATGGACCCTGTGGGAAAAGAAGAACAATAGAGTCGTGGACCTTTTGGAAAATATGTTACGTGCAAAACAATGTTAGGTTTATGCGGATTTATCGAATTGACATCTACATTTTGTTTATGTAACATTTTCTGGGGGCAATAAGTTATCAGAATTTATGTGCCGCCAAAGCTCTCGTATATGGAGCGCAAAGCCGTCTGACAAGCTGGCTCTCGGATTATCGGATAGACAGCTTGTTATTGAAGACGTTGGTGATAAAGTCAAGCCTTGATACTAAATAGATCCTGAAAATAATGTAATAATGTCATACGTACCAAGTAACTACGTATGTGGACTAATTCATAATTATATTTATTAAAATACTAAGTAGGTATATTCAATAGCCTTTTACAAAGGGTTCAATTTTCGCATTACACGACTACTGCAGCTTATCTCCCGTTATCTCAATGCTATGGGTCCCACCGCCGCCATGCTGGTGCGATTAGTTAAATGGAACGCAATTTACATATCTGCACTTGTCATCCTTGTATTTTTATCGCGAAGTATTTTTAAAAGCGCTACTTTGCTCTTGATAGTGCTATTACTTAAAATTACAGTTTTCAGTATTATTAATTCAAGTTAAAGTTTTTAAGTTCTTCATATTTGCATGTACCGATTTGAAATGACTGTAACTGAAATACCTTGAACTTACCAATACATATAGCTCTACAGTAAATAATTATTACTTATTCAATAAAAGCGTTCTAGACTTCAATTACTAAATTAATGATTATGAAATCCAAACTTTTTGCGGACGAACTGTGGACACATGGATTATGTAAAATACCGACTCGATCATATTCGCATAATCCGCAGAAGAAACTAATAATATGCCAAACATTACACAACAAAATAAGAAAGTTGTGGGCGGATTCTTAGAAAAGTGATTGGTAAAGAAAAAGCTACTTTGCGCTAAAATTAAAAAGAATGTCAAACTGCTCCTTACATTGTAGTATATTGCCCGTAACATGTCTTTTTTCCCACTTTAATAGGTGTTATAAAGGCAGCTCTTTCCTAATGTTTTCCTGACGTACAAAGTTTACCGCGTAATAACGTTAACGCGTAATTTATGTTCACTGTAAGAGGGATACGCCCCGGTGGCCCTACCCTAGAGGCCATTATTTTAAACGTCGGCGGACCATCTCACAAGTAGGTGCCTACCTACTTCGTTAGGCTTTGTCAATTTACGGCGCTATAGGGGCCATTCGAAACGGTCATTACGGGGCTAAGTGGTTATAACGCATGTAGCGAGAATGTTACATACTTATTGTTGGTTATTAAATATCGAAAGGTTATACAGAAAATTATTACGAATAATGAATATAACTTAAAAAAAAAAAAAAAAACCGACTTCAAATGCGTGAACACAAATAATACCTATTCAACAAAAAAATAATCGTTCAAATTGGTTCATAATCGGCGGAGATATTGCGTATAAAAAAGTTCATCCCCAATTTTCCACCCTTGGGGGTGAAATATTTTCTTCAAATTCTCATGAAACCATCCTTTTGATAATACCTATTCAACAAAAAAATAATCGTTCAAATTGGTTTATAATCGGCGGAGATATTGCGTATAAAAAAGTTCATCCCCAATTTTCCACCCTTGGGGGTTGTTTTTTTTATTATTAAATTTAAATGGGACCACCCTTGAGGTATTACCTATACGCCGAAAAAAGATTTGTTCAAATCGGTTCATAATTGGCGGAGTGATCGCGTAACAAACATAGAAAAAAAAACATACGGGTCGAATTGAGAACCTCCTCCTTTTTTTGAAGTCGGTTGAAAACAAAATTGGCACTAAGATGGTTGATGGACTATCCTATAGGTTCATTTCGATGATTCTTCGGTCCACTTTAGAGGAAAACGCATAGAGTTATTTTAGCAGAGAAATACAAAATTGAATATTATTTGCTATTGAGTTCTTCTTTATTTGTTTTGAATAGGAACCCATTAGGTAACATACCATTGCAATTTCATGTTCCCAGCTTTTAGGAAAATATTTGGAATCATTTTTCCAGATAGGCAAAAAAACCTTTTTTATTCCCGCTCTATTGAAAATCCCTTTTGACCCGGGCCCAGTATTGTGTCCTAACCCTAACCATTTCTTAATCTCAAATCTCATATTCGTATCTGAAATACCTATAGGTAGTAAGCAGAATTATATTAGGTACCTACTACCAAATGTTTCATTTAAACTTCGAATTTCCAAACTTATTCTTGATTTCTTGAAACTAATTCGTTAAGTGGTAATTAGCCATTATGCCTTTAAATTAGTTAAATAGTTTTATTTACTTCATCGTGCGTTTCGTGCTAAAACAGACCTAAAACTCTTATTACTTATTCTTAATAAGTACTTTCATCACGTTCTTTTCAACATTTTAAGTTCCCTGGTTCAGTTGTGAAAGCTTAACAAGCAGGTAGTTACTTTTACATTTATTATTTGTACAAATAGTCCCAGCTGATAAGCTGACAGAAAAATAATTCGCTTGTTCACTCCAGTATTTTCCGATAGAGCGCTGTAGGCTTAAGTCTAGCATAGTAAGTCTATCGATTGGTTATGAAGTTCGTTAGCCCATTGTTGTCCTTAGTTAGTTTGTACTGCGTCGTTGTTAGTATCGTTACGACATCCAATCAGTGATAGTTTATTCGAGCTTTTCTTATATAAATAGTGATTGATTTAGTTGGCAAACCATTTGCTCTATCTAGACGGGAATTGAATTATTATGGAGTGAAACTACGTTATGTAATATTTATTAGATTTCACTATTGTTACTTAGTAACCTAACCTGATTATAATAATAACTTACAGGACTTATTTGTTTAGTGCTTCCATACAGAACAAATATTTCAATGTTAGCTGTGTGTTTAGCACTTAATTACAAAATGATATTTAGTTTTTTGTTGGTTATCGAGTTTCAGTACCTTCAACTTATTTTTTTTAATTGTTTTAATGTTTTAGAAACTTGGTGTTACAAAATCATCCCCGTTATGCTCTAATTTACTTATTTATGTCTTTTGTGTCCTTCAAATCATGCCTACGTTATTCCTAAATATTATCCGCCGCCCACCCAGTTGACGGCTGTGATTTCATGATTTGTTATAAACTTGTACGTCAATTAGGCCAAAGCTTTTTGTTCGCTGATTACTACCACCCACACGCATGACGTCATGAGATAACACTAACGTCATGTTTATGTCACTTCAAATATTCATAATACTTAATTTTAGTTTTAATGCACCTCTGGGTGACTTTGGAAAGGTTACTTAAAACATCATGATTAATAAATAATCAATAAATTAAAATTAAGGGCTCATTATAACACACTGAAAGCACTCCGCCTTATTTGCTGAAATATTAAAAACAAACTTTATTAATTATGTTGCAATAAAATTATGTCAATTAAGTTCGTAATTCAACGGCTACTTTAAAGTACTTATGTACAGAGTAATTAATTGGCTCTACATTTGATAAACAATACATTAATTATGGTATTTAATAGTGTTAATGTCTGTTATACACAATTTATAGCAGATATAAATAACGGCATTTCAACTTATATCAGTGAGAGGGGAACGCAGCCCGCCCCAGCCCGCTCTCTGAAATGGGTCAAGGGCACGCGAGGGTCAAGGGGTTCCGTACTCGCGTTATGTTCGCATGTTCATAATACGCTATTAAATCAATAAACACTTGTTGACAGAGAACTGAAATCTATATTGTTACGCATTTTTTGTTTCAGAAATTATAAATAAGAAGTGATAATTATGACAAGCAATATTTTAATAAAATATAATGGGCTCAAGAATACTCGCATGTAAAGAGTGTGAGCCCTTAAATTCGAGCATATCAAAAATATGGACATTCAGAAACAACACTTATGCCCGCGGCTGGTGGACTATCTGACTATAGTTGGTGCACGCCCTTATACTTCTGGGAAAGGACTCGCTCCAGTTCAGGTAAGATTAATAAGATATAATATATTTAAAGACATATTCTACTGCTTAAAACATATTTTATGATGATATGTAACTTTGTGAAGCTTAATTTATTAGATTGCGTAGATAAACAACTTGCATTATGTAAGTTTAATCGAAAAGCTGGATCAAAACTACCTAAACCAGCGGACGGCCGCGTTTTCGCTATTATGAAGATAAGGTTTTTCAACCTTATTTTTAGGAAAATCCTAGTAAGTATGTAGTTATTGTATAAAATAATGATCTTCATGTACTTACTTGCCCTTAAATCCACATTAATTTGAGCTTTTCAAGTAGAAGTTTGGATCAAACACTAATACTTTGAGTTAGTTGGAATCACGCTCTTAATCCGGGTCAAGCTTTGTTCGGAGCTTTCCTTCAAATTACTAGGCTGTTTAACTGAGAACTTTGTTTAGTTAAGAAACTTATAAAAGGGATTGGTTGGATGTTGATCCTATTTAATTGAACTTGGATTTATTAAGATAAAGGTACCTTGAAAGTTTTATCCAATACACAATTTGGAGAAAATAATCCGTATTAAAGTCAGTATCTATTTGATGGATTAACGTAACAATAAGAATGAAATATAAACTTTTATAAAGACTACATACCTATAATATAGCTGTAAAATACGTTATATTCAATAAAATATAAGAATTCGTATTTCACAAGTAGCCCTAAATAAAGAACATCAGTACTCAGTAATGTACTGGTACTGACTATTTATCTTTATGTTTTTTGTCTATCAATTATATTCTTATCTACTACTCACACATGTTGCATGACTTTTTCATTCGTAAGTAAAAATCTCATAATATGCTCTTAGGCACCCGAGCTCCTCCGTCGGTATCCGCTCACCAACCACGATGACTTCCCGCTGCCGCTCGACATGGTGTACTTCTGCCAGCCCGAGGGCTGCGTGTCGCAGGGCCCCCGCCGCATGCCGGGCCACCTGGCCACGCGGGACACCACCTCCTTCGTCTTTACTCTCACGGATAAAGACTCGGGTGAGGCTTAGACTTTTCCACTTACTCGCTTCTATTGATGCCAGCCTTTTACTGGGACAATGCCTGAGTATCATGGACATTACAAATACTCTCACAGAAGCACCACGTTGGGCGCCAAATAGTTGCCCGAATCTTTGGTCAACAATTTGGCGCCCAACGTGGTGTCGATTTTCAGTAATATGATCGGCTTGAAAGCTTTTTGTATACTAGGTATTTTGAACGACGATTACATAAATATTGTATAGTGTTTTGAATTTGATAGCGTCTAGTTTTTATAAAAGGTGTTTGAATATTTCTTACATTATAATATTCGAGTAATGTCAAAGAATTGCGCAATGTAAGATTGGCGTTTGAAGATCCATAATAGTCACTAAAAATACGAGAAAAACGTGCAATTCGAATGCATTGTGTATCGTCCAGGCAAGACGCGGTACGGGATCTGCGTGAACTTCTACCGCGCGATGGAGCGCGCGGCGGCGCCGGGCCCGCGCGAGCGCAGCGTGCTGCGGCGCGAGTCGTGGCGCAAGTCCATGGAGAAGAGCTCCGACTCCGCCTTCTCCAGGTGAACATTTACTTACTACGATTTGTAACTTCGACCTCCTCCTATGTTAACTTCAAACTCCTCCTATGTTAACTTCGAGCTCCTCCTAAGTTGATCTGATTAATTTGGTTGCGGGTCCAATGACAGTACAACTTTCCTCTGAGACAAACTTGACCTTCACTGGTTGGATTTTTATTAGCGGTCAAGCAGTAGATCCTGGCTACACAAGAGTTGCAGCGGTGGGAACGAGAGGTGGGAATAGTCCCGTTTCTACGATTTGTTACGTCACAATGTTATGTATTTTGCAGACATTATCCGACCACAACATTTAGAGAGACATAGACATAGAGCACTTTGTTGAGTCTCACTGGAAAATGACAAAACTGAATGTCTTAGAGCCGAGATAGTGGGAGGACTGTAGCGTGATAGATGTCTCGCTCTCTCATTATCTTCCTCTTGACAATGGAGCGTTGATATGCTTTGAAGTCCGGTCCCATCCTTCGGGCAACTATGACAACCCTATCTATCGTTCTATCCTATGTAGCAGTATTGATGAGAACTAAACTAAAAATCGTCTTTAGATTCTTCAGCTTTTTATAATTTGGATTGATTAATAACTTATTTGGACTTGAGTGCTTTTCTCAAGGCTGTATCATTTTCAAAACCTGTCTCAACTGGCAAGATGGGAAGGCTGTTAGATAGTTCGCAGCCTAAGATGTAGCGTGTGTTCCAGTGACTATAGGAGCAGCAACGTGGCGCCGAGCGACTCGGAGCGCGATTGCAGCGCCGCGCTGGCGCCGCGTCTTGCACCTGACTCCGAGTCGGGCGGCAGCCACTCGCCAAGCCCCCGCGCCACTAGGAAACGTCAGGTACAATAATAATTACAGAATAAGATACAAGTATAAACAGTTATCCAGAAGATTCAAATGTCCAAGTAAAGTCCACAATAAGATACAAGGATAAACAGTTATCCAGAAGATTTAAATACTAAGCATCTAAAAAGCTAAATATAAATGTAAGACATGTGATTCCGGCAGAGTAGAATAGCACCCAACTCTTCCCCTAAATGTCATAAGAGATAACTAAGTCGGAGGCTAACGTAGGCAGTGCCAAATGGTCCGTTTGCCTATGGTAAATTAAAAAAGACCGAATACCTACAGTGGATACAAAATGATCTGATGATGTGAAGTAATAGAAAAACAGATAAAAATCATTTTACGACGGCTAGAAAAAAGTCTCATATCTCTGGTAACGGCTTAACACATTTCGAACCATAATAACGTAGACATCACATGAGCTTTTAATAGCCGATAAAACATCCATTATAGCTCTTGAAAACCCTCACCAACCTCTATAAAAGTGCCAATTACGCACCGAATGGTACTCACACGTTTTGTTTTGTTTCAGCGCGTGCGGAATCATTCCTTAACCTCATTATGTTTACTTTCTCATCACCCATTCTTTTCAACGTTCCGAGAGTGCCTATTTATCCTAAAGAAGTTAATAGATGCCTGCAATGAGTCTTCCAGTCCTCGAAGAGTCGGGGCGTCCAGACAAATATTTAGGTAAGTTAGCTTAAAAATATGTAAGTACCATCATTTCAGTTTTTCATGAATGGTGGATACTGACTATTGTTTTTGTTTTATACAGGGATACGGTTTGGTCAGTATTGACGGGTCAAGCATACGACAATACGCCGACGATCGTGCTACATGACGTAAAGGAGATCGAAACATGGATCCTTCGGCTGCTATCAGCTCCTGTACCGGTACCGGGCAAGACCCGCTTAGAACTTGAAGTTCTATCGCCCACGGCTCACGCGCCTCTACTGTTCGCGTTGCCTGACCACACCCGGTTCGCCCTGGTCGATTTCCCACTACATTTACCTTTGGAGCTGTTAGGTAAACCTAATTTCATATTATCTTTTCATTTTATACTGTCCGAACTCGGGGCTTTATTCTCGTTGTTTGTGTTACATAATTAAAAGGAGCCTTTTAAACCTCAAAGATTGAAAAGCAATTATTGTGTTGGCCATTCAATCAAAATGCTATCAAACTGAAAGCCCATGGATTGAAGTTTAATTTGTTTGATCGTTTGCTATCAAAATGCTATAAGGGTTTTATGTATCCTTTGTTTATTTTACCAATAATCCATAGTTATAAACGACATTGAGTATTGGAAATACGACAATAATAGCCAACGCTTTATTTATTTCGAAATGGCAATAAAATAGTAATTGACACAACAGTCAATTAATAACAAAGTTTTTATGAATTATCACAACGCAACTTAAATTTCTATGGCAATTCGAAGTTAATAACGTATTTTTTATCATTTGAGCGAGGCTATAAAGTTGAGGATCTTTACTAATTTGTGGATTTTATGTATAATAGTCATTATTATTTATGCTTTGTTAGGAGTTATTTCATTTGGAAAGTCCTGAGGTCGAATCTCGAATAGGCAGTCCAATGCCGACACCTTATAGACTGACGCGAGTACTCTTTCTTGATGTATCAATTACTGTTATATCCTACCAGGTGTGGACACCTGCCTGAAGGTCCTCACGCTGATTATCCTCGAAAACAAAGTGGTGGTGCAATCGCGCGACTACAACGCGTTGTCAATGTCGGTGATGGCACTCGTGGCTATGCTGTATCCTCTGGAGTACATGTTTCCCGCCATCCCGCTTCTGCCCAGCTGCATGAGCTGTGCGGAGCAGCTGCTGCTGGCTCCGACACCCTTCCTGATTGGAATACCGGCTACGTTCCTCACTTATAAGAAGAACTTCAGGTAGGTGGGATAATAACTTTTTAGGCACTTATAACTTTGTATATTTTAATACCTATGTGCATACCGGCTACGACGACATAAGAAATACTTCAGGTACTTTTTAATTATAATCCCAACTAATATTATAAATGCGAAAGTAACTCTGTCTGTCTGTCTGTCTGTCTGTCTGTCTGTCTGTTACGCTTTCCCGCTTAAACCTCGCAACCGATTTTGATGAAAGGACAATGGGCAAAATGGTACCCGGCTCCAATAGATATGTGTCTAGTATCGTTTGAAAGGTCTTACCAAGATGAACAACTTTTACTATGACCACCAGCCTCAGATCTGGTTGTGTACGAAGATATACATACTTTTTTGCAGAATGGTACCCGGCTCCAATAGTTATGTTTGTAGTGTCATTTGAAAGGTCTTACCAAGACGAACAACATTTACTATGGCCACCAGCCTCAGACCTGGTTGGCCATTGTGGAAATCATTGGGGGAGGCCTATGTTCAAATGGACGTCCTATGGCTAAAATGATCATGATGATGATGATGAAAGCGAATAAAGGGCTAATAGCTTGGGTAGTTCATCGTAGGTATAATCCTTTCCTTTTCAATGCTTCTTTTAGTTATATTAATAGATTGTATTCATAATACATACTCGTATACATGGATGATTGTGTTATACTTTCATTATAATACTTAGTGGAATTACTGCTTTCAAAACGTGAATTAGAACTGGCCCCATAGCAGACATTTTCCTACATCTAAAGGCCTTTTAAAATATATATTGGATATGGCTATTGGAGCGGGTACCACTTTCCATACATTTGTGCCCATCATCCTTTGGCATAGAGATAGTTTGAGTCCCGGGAAAGAACATAGGATAGTTTTTATCCCGGTTTTTGAAACAGGGACGTGCGCGATAAAGTTTTTCTGTGACAGACAAAATACCACGCGGGCGAAGCCGCGGGCGGAAAGCTAGTTAAGAATAATTTTACTACAATAATACTTACTTAATGCCTCCCCAACCTGTCTAACCAGCGCGGCAACGCGTGGCGAGTGAAGGCCGAATCCTCTATTTGCCATAATAAATTAGAGGATCGCGCTCCCGCAGAGGAGACTAATGCCCATTTTCACCATCGATACCTAATTTTTAAGTGACCCTTATGAAAACAAAATTCCTGATAAGTGTTACCATAGGGGTCAAAAACGGGTTAAAAATTAGGGTTTGATGGTGAAAACGGGCATAAATGACCTGATGATGATGCTTATATGTTTGTATCTGAAAAACCCTGGACCCTAAAAAACTTCAAAGTAGGTTCTTTACCAGCTCACGGTTTCTGCCAAACAATCTTAGATTTTAATCAATTGTCTTTTTGAAGGTTACCTGATGATATATGGCTAGTGGACTTAGACGCGACAAAGCTCGTATGTCCCACTGGCCAAGACCAAGAACTGCCGCCACTACCGGAGCCTGAAGGCTCCGTATTGAAAAACCACCTCAAGCAGGTAAGATTTTAATATACTCTGTTGTTGCTTTCATTATCTCCATGTCGTACATAATATCTACTTTCTTAACATAATATCACATAATCTTTTTCTAATATGCACTTGTGGGCGCATTGTTCTCGATGTCGCTACGCTAAGCTGCTCTGTCCAGTATCTATGCATTCTTGATCTATACTCTAATACTTTTTTAGGTGTTTGTCATACATGTCAGTTTACATAATGGTCTAACGGTTAAGATAAACATGTATAATTTAATGGTTGCGAAATAAATATTAATACAAATATTATATTTATTTATCTTAACCCTCCTCTATCCAGTGTTGCCTCTCGCGAGAGCCGACTTGATAAGCTCACTAACATACTCCCTCACTTTCTCCTGTCGTCACTAGGCGGTGCATCTCATGGGAAGTGCCGGAACTGGTGTAAATATTACTACTCTATTTTTACAATGCACACTTTGACTTTTATTCACTCATACTTGTTACCAACTCGCTCCAGTTATAATGATATTTATGTATATAATTTCACATACTCGCTCTTCTAAATAACGTTTTTTCAATATATTTGATGGTTTTAATATTTTTGAATCGCAAAAGGTTATTAGAAAGGCGAGTATGGGGATATACCCTGACTGAAATAAGTGTTAACATTACTTAGGTACACTTGACATTTCTCATACATACTGGTACCATCTCATGATTATATGAAACTATAATAACACGATTTCAGTCACAATATTATTATCGCTGAGTGCAGCATGTCGGATGACTTGTGTTGTGGTGCTGATTTATTTATTGACGCTTCTGTTGAGGTGGAGAGTGGTAATGCTTGGAGTTATTGTACTCGTGTTTGGAATGTAGTGCATTTTGTTGGTTTACTTTACTAAATATACCGTAGTTATTTGTATATACAACTTAAATGCAAATATATAAATATTACAATAAATAGTTTAGTGGAGGGTAAATTAAATAATATGCAGGTAATAATATATTTATTATATTAAGCGCTTCACGATTTATTCATTTATTTATTTTAATGAATTAATTATTTTCACTAAGTTTTGAACTTTTAATCAAGTTTTTAGCAATGCAGCCAGAATAATGATCTAACTACGCTATAAATGAGCTTTATCCAGTTATTTAGAAATATTTTTGGTTATGGTTTTTGACAAATATTTTCTCCTATTTTCGACAGGCTCTGAACAGCCTGACCAACACCTCTGCGGAACAAGCGAATGCTCTTCTGATGCCTTCTAGAAGAGACAGTGTGGGGGGCGCTACGCTAAAGTAAGTTTGATCAGTTGTACCTATTATTCGTGTCGAAAGTGTCTTCGTTTAGACACCCCGTATCCGTATACTTAATATTCCTCGTACATGCCCCGCCCGTAAATTGGACACAATTACCAGGTCGTGCCTGACATTTATTTATTGTCCTACTAAATAAATAAATACGCTTCGTTTGCTCTGTTCGCAACCCTCCGTGTAATTCAGAAGTAGCAATTTATTTATTTATGATGATTATGAACGTGAGAAATTAGATGAAAGAAGATTCAAATGATGTAAAGAAAACTAATTTTTATAAAGACAAATGATATTGATATACAATCTATCAAAAGCCTCTATGATTTGAAAATTGACTGAAAACGTTTTAAGTTTCGTTCTTTGAGTGAGCAGTTGATACGTAGCGAATGATGCGTGCGGTTGCATACATACATTTCGCTGTTAACTCGACCTTGACAACTAGCGGGCAGTCGACCACTGATAGTTCTCCTAATGGAAACACAGCTTAAGGGCAGATTTGTCAATCGTCGGATAACTTTTAACTGAAGAATAAGTTTGGCACATTCACAGTTTCTATATGGGAAATATGTCAAAATGACAAGTTTATTCTTCAGATAAAAGATATTTAACGATTGAAAAATCAGCCCTAAGGCTCAGTTGCACCATCTTATTAAAATTTTAACTTTAACAAACGTTAAAAATCCGTCAAACTCCATTTAAAAACACCGGCTATACACACACACACACATACACACACATGATTATAAAATGTTCTGTAAAATCGCTCCTATTCATATCACCTTCATGTTATTTTATGTTACCAGCTGAAATTTCCATGTTATAGTCCTAGCATGTAAAACTTAAATATTTCTATGTTAGCCCACAAATGTCGAGGAATCACTGACACTGAAAATACAGTATTTTTTACTAGTTTCGGTGTCAGGGTTCACCCCTTGTTAGATCCAAATGTTTTATTGAATAAATTTATTTATTATTATTATTTTATTTCAAAGATTCTATCTTTCTCCATCTTAAAGACTTATAGTTACGGTCAAAGTAAGTTGGTGCAACTCAAGTGTAATTAATGTGATAAACAAATGAGCAATCTCTTACCAGAGTGCAACAAGCGTCGTACCGCGCTGCGGACGGCGCGTGGCCGCACAGCACGCCCGAGAGCCGCCGCGTGTCCGTGGGCAGCGCGGGCGCGGCCGGGCCCGCCAGCGCCGGACACACGCCCACGCGCCTGTCGCTGGCCTCGCCGCACCAGCCGCAGCCCTTCAACCCGCTCATATACGGCAACGACGTCGACTCCGTCGATGTGGCCACGCGCGTCGCTATGGTGAGCTTACAAAACTACAGGCGCTTCCACACGACACGCACCTGTCGCTAGCCTCGCCGCACCAGCCGCAGCCCTTCAACCCGCTCATATACGGCAACGACGTCGACTCGGTCGACGTGGCCACGCGCGTCGCTATGGTGAGCTCCCAACACTACAGGCGCTTCCACACGACACGCGCCTGTCGCTGGCCTCGCCGCACCAGCCGCAGCCCTTCAACCCGCTCATATACGACGTCGACTCGGTCGATGTGGCCACGTGAGTCGCTATGGTGGGCTCACAACACTACAAGCGCTGCCACACGCCCACGCGTCTGTCGCTGGCCTCGCCGCACCAGCCGCAGCCCTTCAACCCGCTCATCTACGGCAACGACGTCGACTCGGTCGACGTGGCCACGCGCGTCGCTATGGTGAGCTCACAACACTACAGGCGCTTCCACACGACACGCGCCTGTCGCTGGCCTCGCCGCACCAGCCGCAGCCCTTCAACCCGCTCATATACGGCAACGACGTCGACTCCGTCGATGTGGCTACGCGCGTCGCTATGGTAAGCTTTTCATAATCATTTCAGCTACATGACGTGCCGATCATAGGCTTCCCCCAATGATTTCCAGATTGGCCGGATAACAGCGGCCTGCATCCAGCACCTTCTTGCAATCTTTACGAGGTCAACATCTATCCATCTCGTGCGTAAATGGTAAGCTCACGTGCTCACTCCTAATAGTCTTCTGTAACGTGTAACCATTGTCACAGCCAATGAGGGCTATCGTTTTTATACTTAACAGTTGGCACCGCTTTTGGCCATTGGCAGGACCTTACCCTATAGTGGCGCCATCTTGATGAGTGCAAATGCGATAGTCCTCCTACCACTTTAGCGCTCACCAGTTGGTGCCACTGTCTTCGCTACTAGCAAGTGACAGGACCTTACTCTACAGTGGCGCTAACTGGTGAGCGCTAAAACGATAGCCCTCATTGGTTATGACGTCTATAGTTACACAATGAGTTGACATACTAAAAATTATAACACTACAACTGATTTTCCATTATGTATATCTATAGACTATAATTAGATTGTATTTTGTTGCAGGTCCGTTTCTTCAACTCACAAAATATCCTGGCGAATTTTATGGAACACACGCGAACACTGCGTCTTTATCCCCGGCCTGTGGTGGCTTTCCAAATCAACAGCTTTCTAAGGTCAAGACCGAGAACTACATCTTTCTTGAATAAATTCGCCAGGACACAGGTAACGTGCAAGCTCTATCTATTTTGTTATTCTCTATCATACATTTTAATTTTAGTCAACCGTCTTTAATCAGAAATCATCTTTATGTGCAGGCAGTAGAGTTCTTAGCTGAGTGGTCACTCACGCCTTGCAACGTGGCATTCCTTCGGGTGCAGACGGGTGTATTCGACCCGCGGCAGATCGGTGACAAGCCCAAGTGGTTCGCTGACCAACTACAGCCGATCCGATTTGCGGTCTGGGACGATGGAAGCTCGCTCAATGGCGCTTTGAGGCAGTTGCAACGGCAAGAAAACCAACCTACAGGTAAATATTCTGCTAAACCCATCCCGTTGTTGAAGGTCCCAGTTTTAGATTCCTTTGTTAATTTTGACACTTGCATTTTGGAGCTTAAAATGACATTTTGAAGACTGGGTGTTTTCATTAAGACCTTTGTTTTGTTTTCAGATGAGAGTGGTTCAGACTCAGATGCCGCGGAAAGTACAAGCTCGTCATATTCGTCTCTGAGTGACTTTGTATCAGAAATGGTCTCGTCAGATCTGTCACCAGGTATTAAATACTATTCAGTTTTATACTGTGTCTTACTTTAAGCAATAAGCATCTTAATAATTATGTTTTATTTGTTTTAAGGTGGTGGAAATGCTCATCAGCATGTGATTGGAGAAACGTATAGTGCTGTTGTTCAAGTTCCAATGACATTATCATCATCGTTGGATCCTAGAACGGTAATCAATTTATTTAGTCACTAAAGCCTCTAAACCCGTTACTCTGGCCATTAAGTTACTCTAAATCACACCATCACATAACACAGTGGTTCCCAAACTTATTTAGTCTACTGCCCACTTTGAGAATAAATTATTTTTTAGCGCCCCCCATTTTTGTAGTCAAGAGTCGAGCTCAGTCAATGTCTAAGAGTCCTCCTAGTAGATGACGCCTCCCAAGCCTCTACACAACGTCCCGATTTTTTTTCTGGGTCTCTTACCGCCCCCCTTTAAGCCTGCAGCGCCCACAAGGGGGCGTTATCGCCCACTTTGGGAAAGACTGACATAACACAATGTTAATGCTTTCCTGATTTTAATTCTCGTTCCTCGCATTTTGGAGAAGTAAGTTCTCACACTGCAGTTAACTGAGCTAGCGTAATTACGCAGTGGCCATGTAAACAGTCATTGATAGGGGCTTGTATCCATCGCCTTCGTGCTACCTTTATGAGGTCGTCGGTCCACCTTGTGGGTAAACATCCTACGATATGCTTTTCGGTCATTATGGAAACCATTTTTTTTTTTTTACAATTTCACACAGCGCCAGCTAGCCCCAAAGTAAGCAACTTAATGCTTGTGTTATGGGTGCTAGCTTAACGGATATACTACTTATATACTTTTTTTTTAAATACATACATATTATACATAGTAACACCCAGACCCGTCACAGAAATTAAAATTCATCATTTCAATTTCTGCCCGGCCGGGAATCGAACCCGGGACCTCTCGGCATAGTAGTCCGCTCTGAACCACTACACCAAACGGCCGACGGCCGACCATTGGGGGAGTCTTATGGCTGAAATAATGATGATGAAGTCATTTCTTTTTTTGCAATTTTGAAAATAAATTACTTTTATGCCTAATATAAATTCATTGTCCAGGTGTACAGTCCGCCGTCATCGTTAATGTTCGGCGAGGGCTCGGAAGCGGCGCCGGCGCAGGGCCGCGAGTCCACGTCGCCCTCGCCCTCCGCCTCCAGCTCCGAGCATAGCGACCTGTCCGATGACGAAGCCGCCGCAGAACCGAGACACGCGGACGCTATGCACGCCACGCCTGTTAAGAAGAGCGTAAGTTTTTTAAAACTTAGGTATGAATCTCAACTCATCACCAACCAGGTGTACAGCCCGCCGTCCTCGTTAATGTTCGGTGAGGGCTCGGAAGCGGCGCCGGCGCAGGGCCGCGAGTCCACGTCGAATGACGAAGCCGCCGCCATATGCACGCCACGCCTGTTAAGAAGAGCGTAAGTTTCTTAAACTTAGGTATGAATCAACTCATCATTAACCAGGTGTACAGCCCGTCTTCCCTAAGCGACAGCGCACTAAGCGACTAGATGCTGCGACTTGTCGCCCAGTGTGCGCTGTCGCTAATGTTCGGCGAGGGCTCGGAGGCGGCGCCGGCGCAGGGCCGCCTCCGAGCTCTGAGCACAGCGACCTGTCCGATGACGAAGCCGCCGCAGAGCCGAGGCACGCGGACGCTATGCACGCCACGCCTGTTAAGAAGAGCGTAAGTTTTTAAAACTTAAGTATGAATGAACTCTTACAACCAGGTGTACAGCCCGTTTTCCCTAAGCGACAGCGCACACTGGGCGACTAGACGCTGCGACTTGTCGCCCAGTGTGTGGTGTCGCTAATGTTCGGCGAGGGCTCGGAGGCCGAGCATAGTGACCTGTCCGATGACGACGCGGACGCCACGCCTGTTAAGAAGAGCGTAAGTCTTACGCGCCAAGTCTTTTTTATACATCTTTAGGTAGGTATTTATTAGGTAGATCACGTGACTTTGAAGAAGAACTCAGGTCACAGTTACACGCGACCTTAAATCATGCGACCATGGAAAATAACGTAAGCCTCTTTATGTAGCAAATTCGATGATGTTACTTTCGAGCAGAGTTGCTTATTAGGGGAGACCTAGGAGAGTTGTGACAATTTTTACTTTAGGGTCCATATCTTGCTGAAAAAACATTCCACAGCTATGAATCATACAAATTAATGTAGCGACGTTCCTTCTGTTTTCAAAACAATCACCAAAGTTAACTAAAGTTAGGGTTTCTAAGAAAATCACCAAAATCTTAGACCACTCCCTCTGTCACAACTCTCCTAGCACCGAGGTAAGTTGTGACAGGTACCGAGGTGAGTTGTGACAGCATTGTATTTCATCTATTAGATATAAAAATAACATAATATTTAGTCAAATATGATTGCTAAAGCAAAAAAGTACTTTAATCATCCTTTAGTACCAATTACAACAAATAGTTATATGATGTCGTTACACAGATTGAGCCACATTTCTCCAGCTTTCATTTTTCTCCCACGACACTGGATTTTTTAATTATATTTTTAGCTAATATAGCCACATAATATATTTTCTTCCTCTTCTGTAAAAATAAAATAGTCGTGATGGTATAATCCATAGACGGAGCTTCGCCTTCTGGGTTTACTTGTTAAGCCTCATTCTTCTTAATATTATTATATCTTGACAAGTTTACATTGTAAGAGGTCGCAGCATAAGATATTATCTTAAACTTTAACCCTTTAACCTAATCACTTCATAAGCCAGGTCCTAGATTTCGACTCTAGCAAGCAGTTCCTCTATATGGCTTTCATGTATAGTTATTAGGCATTCTGAATAAAAAAAGTAGCAGCATGCAATTATACAAATTATGAACCTACTAACACACAGAAAAACATCTAAAAACATTGTGGAAATGGCCCATCAGAAAAAAATAGTAAGCTAGGAGAGTTGTGACAGGCTGTCACAACTCTCCTAGGTGTTTAAAATGACGACTTGGTTCGAATAATATTTTTTATTTTCTAAACACGATGCGCACACAAAAGATCAATGCTACATTTTGAGACCTGAATAACCATGCAACTTGAGAAAAAATAACACAACAGTGCACATATACTAAAACATGATATAAATTGAAATAAAATTTTGAAGAAAAACTTACTTTTCGCATTTTTTTGTACACAGACGTCATATTTACGCAACTGCGCCTCTTGCGCCGCCCGCAGGTACTTACTCAAGAAGAGCGTCTTAAAAGCGACAAACAAGCGTTTTTACCAGCTTTCTAACTATATTAAGTAAGGAGAAATCGTCCTTGTCACAACTCACCTCTGTCACAACTCTCCTAGGTCTCCCCTATAAATCTATCTAGCGTTCAACTCAGTCAGTGTCTGAGGTATGGAAGCGGCACGGGAGGGGTGAAATTGACGTATAGATGACCCACGCTGAACTGTCCCACCAAACTCAATGACAGGGGGGCGCTACCATCGTTCAACTATATGGTTTCCAACATGGCAAAAATCTGAACCAGCGATCCGGTATTGACAGTGGCGCCCCACTGTCAATGTCATCGACAGAACAGTCCAGTATTTTGGAACTATATTAAGACGTGATAGAGCATACAAATCTGAAGTCTCGCTGACATTTGACCGTCACAAAACAAAAACACCCTCCTGTGCCGCTGCCATACCTCACGCACTGACTTAAGCGTTAAAAATGTAATCACGTGACCTTGGAGAAAGATGTAAGTCAGTTTATTACGCGCCAAATAAGATTATGCTACTTTGGATCAGAGTGTAAGTTGCTTATTAGATACTACATTAGTCACCTCGTTACACGCCGAATAGCATCACGTGACCTTGGAGAAGGGTGTAAGTTAGTCACTTTTCACGCGCCAAATTAGATTACAATTTACATCACCTTGTAGAAGGGTTTAAATCACTTAAATACGCACTAATTTAGGCTAATTACGCACTAATTTATGCAATGTGACCCTGGAGAATTGCGTATAAAGTAACTTTACGCGCTATCAGATCACGTAACATTGGAGAAGATTACGTGTGAGTTGCTTAAATGCCACATAAGATCTAGATTAGGTAGCGATTAGGTTTGATGCGTAACACACATCAAATTATCACCTTAGCCCTACCCTTAAAGCCTAAAAGTTTTAAACCTTTGTTTGTCACCTGTCATCCGCTTTGCAATGGAGGGAAGTCGAACCTTAATTTCGAACTCCTCCTATGTTCTTCTGATTAATTTCGTTGCGGGTTCAATGACAGTTTAACTTTCCCCCGGGACAAACTTGACCTTCATTGGTTGGGTTTTTGTGGCGGTCAAGCTGTAGATCCTGGCTACACAGGAGTTGCAGTGGTGGGAATAGTCCCGTTCGTTTTTACCCTTAAAGCCTCAATCACGCAACTTAACATAGTACGGTGGTGAGCCGCCGACAGCGCCAGGACCATCGTTAAGTTTAGACTGATATGATGGGGCCCGTTTTTAAAAAGCGAATTAATTGACGTTAATTTCCTTTAGAAATATTTTAACGTTAATATGATTCACTAAGTAGAATAGCGCTATAGGCGTCCGCTAGTACCTACCGCCCGCATTGTATAGGATACCGACAGCTACAGTTTACTGCGGGAATCGGACTCGAACTCGAACTCAACGATGACGCCAGCACCAGCGTTAAGCTTTAGACTGATGATTGATGTAGCCCGTTTTTAAAAAGCTAATTGATGCTAATTTCATTTAGTAAAATATACGTTAGCTAAGTAGAATAGCGCTATATTAGGCGACTGAAAATTGTACAGGATACCGACCAGCGGCAGCTTCGGGCGTGAGTCAGACTCGAACTCGAAGACAGCGCGCCGCCGCCGACAGCGCTAGCACCAGCGTTAAGCTTAGACCAATGATTGATATGACCCGTTTCTAAAAAGCTAAACAATTGATGCTAGTTTCATTTTAGCAATATTTTAACATAAATAGGATTAGCTAAGTAGAATAGCGCTATAGGCGACCGCATTGTACAGGACACCGACAGCGGCAGCTTCGGGCGCGAGTCGGACTCAAACTCGACGACGACGCCCAAGACGGTGGTGAGCCGCCAGCGCGCCGCGGCCGACAGCACCAGCACCAGCGACTCGGACCGCGCGCTCACGCCCTCGCACCACTCCCTGCCGCCGCACCAAGCCCATGTCAAGGTGCACACGCCATTCCAATGTAGTTCGCACTCCGCACTATACCTATTCGCTTTTTGGGAAAAACATTTGTACCAAAATGTAAAACAAAATATCTATCCAACTGTCTGTATCCGATTTCGTAAATGATGAAAAGTTGACAAATAAGTACTTTTGGATTGTTTTTCACTTCTGTAAGAATTGAAGTTCTATTAAATCATTGGAATAATAAAAGTCCTTTCTAAAGCTGGTATCATAATGGATAATATTAAAAATATTGAAATGCGTTACATACCTATGATGCCTTTGTGAATGCCCTTCTAACCCTCCATAACACAAGAATTTAAGTCCCTAATCCGACCGCAGTTATGATACTCCGATACTGCCGAAACTCGATCTAGCAAGGCTAATTTTTAACGTGAGAAAGAATGTAAACATTTGAAACTTTTAATATTGTTGTTCGTATTGAACCCGTAGTTCTAAAACTTTTAAACATTTTCTATATTTTATACTTCTAGAGCACTAGCAGCGGCGTCTCGCGACAAGCTTCCCAGAGTTCTCTTCTAGAGCAGTTCGCAGCGCAAGCCAAGGAGCTGGTACGAGAAACCACTCGCCAGAGTAGCCAGGAAGGCTTACTGGCCCATATGGACAAGGTACATAAACATATTTCTTATAAGCACTTATTAAAACATGACACCTTTTATCGGGGTGGGATTCTGATTTAATTTTAACTGTGTATCTTTTATTACAAAACGAAGAAAGGAAAAGTGACAGAGGGGGACGAAAAGAAAATGTTTGCTCCTTTCGGTCAGGTACATCACGAGTGAACGCTTGCATAGCAGGATGATATTTTATCATTATAGTTTTTATTTATTACGCATAGCAACAACCCAACGTAGCAACCATTAGATTAAACACCCACTAAAATATTATTCTATTTGAAAACTGGCTAGAGTTTTAAATTGCGAGAATGCGTTGTGGAATTCTCTAAATAAATATCGTACTTACTTAGAATTCATAAGTAGCAGTTAAGTATTGTATTTGTAAATAAATTGTCTTCATAAAGACAATCTGCTTGATCTATGATCGATTCATCAAACCTACTTAAAATAACTTGAATTATGCAAATTCATGAATGTATTTGAAACGTTTTCTTGAGCTTCTATAAAGCCTTTTTACTCATACTTAGGTTAGGAAGTTTTATGCAACACGGTGCTGAATCACTGCTAAGCTCGTTATTTCGAAATGACAAATTAAATTGCTTTTAGTCGCTTAGGCCCGGTTTTTTGATTCGTAGTTAAAATAACCAATGGTCAAATTTGGCAGATGTCAAATGACAATTGGTTAAATATCAGAAAAAAATGTTTTTCGAACAATGGTTAGCTTGAATTTTAGTACATTTTTTAACTATTAGTTAACATTTTGTTAATATTTAACCATTAGTAGCAAAATTTAACAATTTGTTATTTTAACTATGAATCAAAAAACTGGGCCTTAGAATGAGAGTTCAACTTTAGCACCCATGATACGCGAAGCTAAACACATAGTTTAGTTATCACTCTCTCACTAGAATTTTTCTCTCTTCAAGCAATAAGTACGCTAGTGTGATTCAAAAACTTTCATTGTCTGATTGTTTGAATTTATTTGTGTAGCTTACACTTCACGCCAAAAAAGCCGCAGAAGAAGCGTCAAAAAGTATGCAAGAAGCATCTAAATCCGCCTTAGAAGCAAGCAAGACGGCAACGGCGGTCAGCAAAAACACGTTCGAAGATCTAACTTACGTGGGAAAATCAACTTTCGGAGACCTGACTAAAAGTGCTAAAGAAGCTGCTGCTAAGAAAGGTCTGCTGATGAAGGTAAGAAAATTAGACTATCCCTAGAATATTAACATGAGAACCAGTTGTAATTTCCTGAGACAAATATTGATGCGTTTGTTTACTTGATGAACACCGTCACTTTTGCGTTTTAACCAGGAAAGCGTCTGTTCTAATAATTCACACATTTACTCATTACAATAGATTCGTTTTCACGAGCAGTCGAGCAGAAGTTATAACGTCCTTAATGGCGTCCTTAACGTTATACTTAGTATATTTCCCAAAAATAAACAAACCACTACCAATTTTTATCCTTATTGAAAACTGAGTTTTCGGGACTACTGAAGATGCCTTGGAATTACTGCTTAGTGACAAATACCTAATGAAACAGGGTTTTATACGTATTAAGTTTTTTGTTGTTAGGGTGAGAGCCAAGACTCTACGGGCAGTGCGACCTCGCGGCGCGACTCGACGGCTCTCCAGACCACCAACCTGCTGACGGCCACACACCGAGACTTCTTCTCCAACATCAGTTCTGATCTGAATGGCCTGGCTGCTTCCACTTCCAGCATGTTCAGCGACTTCTTTGGTTCTAAAGGTATTATTTGATAGTTGTATTTCTGCTACTTATTTAAGAAAAGGGTGATGTCAATTTCAGAATAGCATTTTTGTTGTAGTGTTAGTGTATATTTCTGTATTGAGCTACACGTTCCCGACTTAAAAAATGAAATGATAAAGTCGACACGAAAATTTACTTTTCGGAAATTACGTCATATCGAACGCCAGGGCCACCTGTGGGTGCTTGACGGAGCCTATGACGTAGAAGCCTATGAAGCTCAGTCTTGTGGCAGTAACTGAATAGTCAACACGCCTTTAGAAACTGTAGCGCGTCCTATAATGTGTTTGAAATAAACACTTTTACGTATCGAGACTTAAGTTTAGATATGCGTATCAAGATTTAGCAATTCGCTTATCAAATGGCAATGCCAGATTTTGTATGGAAGGTGGCGTCTTTTTTTTTTCGCGCGGCCATCGACCAAACTTTATTTTTTGATTACAAAATAGTGTAATAAACCAAACTTACTATGGCATGTATACCTCTAAACTCAGTCTGAACTGAGTTACGAGCATTAGAAGTTTGATGATTTTCATACTACATTTGCTTTTTGCGAGCAAGTTTTGTAAGAAATTGCAAAAAAATATTGCGCTATTTTTTATTGCGCTGATTCTGCTGCATACTGATGTCTGGAGCCTTTAATGGATGGTATTGTTTGTTCACACATACAATGTCACTATTTTGTTGCAATTTCTTACAAAACTTACGCGCAAAAAGCAAATCTAGTATGAAAATCATCAAACTTCTAATGCTCGTAACTCAGTTCAGACTGAGTTTAGAGGTATACATGTCATAGTAAGTTTGGTTTATTACACTATTTTGTAATCAAAAAACAAAGTTTGGTAGATGGCCGCGCGAAAAAAAAAGACGCCAATTTCCGGCATTGTCTTTTAACAGGCAAGCAAGTAAAGCCAGCCGAAAGCCCCCGCTCTGCTCCGCCGGGCCCGCAAGCGTCGACACCTCTATCGGCGACGTTCGGGCCCTTCTCTCAAGGAGCGCGGGGCTTGGTGCAGCGCACGCCGCTTATACGACACGCCCCGCCCACTACCGCGTCATCACCGCCTGCCACTAGACCTTCGGCTAATTCCGAAAACCAGGCCTTCCTCAATGATGTGAGTATATCACTTTCATCGGTGAGATATTCTCGTTATTCTTAAGCCACGCCCACTGCATCTTCAGCTGCTTCTGGTAATGTCGGCCGTTTGGTGTAGTGGTTCGAAACGGACTACTATTCCGGAGGTTGCGCGTTCGATTCCCGCACATTACAAACATTTGTGTGCATGAACATATTTGTTTGTATTGGACTGGGTGTTTTCTACGTATAATATGTATGTATTTACAAAAAAAAAAAGAATTTAAGTATGTTTATATCCGTTGTCTAGTACCCATAGTACAAGCTTTGCTTAGTTTGGGACTAGAAGCGCAGTGTAAAATGTCCAAGGATATTTATAATGGGTGGAAAAGTCCCTGGAACTGGATTTAAGCCGCCGGTATCGCAAGCGTCGACACCGCTATTACGCCGAAAGCCTGGATTGGGATGGCTGATATACATGAACTGCATTGACATTTTACATTCTTCATTCCATTGCATAAATGTATTTTGACCGTGAATTTTTCTTGTTAGTTGGTGCAACACGTGTTAGAAGGCGAGGGCGTCGGGTGGCTGAAACTTAATCGTCTAAAGAAGTTGATGGAAGACGAGTCCTACCGCAACATGGTGCTAAGCAAGCTGAATAGAAACTTTAATAGGAAAGCCACGCCGAACGACAAGGTTGATGACGTGGTAAGTGTTTTGTGGCTAGTATTAGATAGAATACTACAATAATGTATTTACAGCGAGATTAAAAAAGTTATCACTCAGCCAAGTACCACACATGGCTTGACATATGCGACATACTTCTCATAATATTTTTAAACTTATTCGTTACCGCCTGTATAGAACTAATAAAGCATAGATTTTTATCACAAGGAATATCATCGACGTAAAATCAACTCATATGTGATCCTCTTAATTAATTCCACCAAAAATTCCAGTTCGTCAGCAAGCCCGTCTGGAAAGGGATGCTCAAAGTTCTCCAAGCTGTCGTCCACGGTCTCGAACACACATACTCTAACTTCGGCCTAGGCGGCATGGCGTCAGTGTTCCAACTTGCAGAGATGGCTCACACGCACTACTGGAGCAAAGAGCTGGCAGGACTTGAACATGGCGGGCTGGCTGGTCTCGGGGACCATTATGGAAGGCACGAGCTGGAGACGCCGTCAACCTCGCCGTCGTCTAGGAAGAGCTCGCAGACAGGTATAGTCAAACTTCGGACTCATGGCGCCATGGCGTCAGTGTTCCAACTTGCAGAGATGGCTCACACGCACTACTGGAGCAAAGAGCTGGCAGGACTTGAACATGGCGGGCTGGCTGGTCTCGGGGACCATTATGGAAGGCACGAGCTGGAGACGCCGTCAACCTCGCCGTCGTCTAGGAAGAGCTCGCAGACAGGTATAGTCAAACTTCGGACTCATGGCGCCATGGCGTCAGTGTTCCAACTTGCAGAGATGGCTCACACGCACTACTGGAGCAAAGAGCTGGCAGGACTTGAACATGGCGGGCTGGCCGGCCTCGGGGACCATTATGGAAGGCACGAGCTGGAGACGCCGTCAACCTCGCCGTCATCTAGGAAGAGCTCCCAGACAGGTATAGTCAAACTTCGGACTCATGGCGGCATGGCGTCGGTGTCCCAATTAGCAGAAATGGCTCACACGCTCTACTGGAGCAAGGAGGTAGCCGGACTCGAGCACGGCAGGCTGGCCGGGCTCGGCAACCACTATGGGAGGCATGAGCTGGAGACGCCGTCAACCTCGCCCTCGTCTAGGAGGATCTCGCAGACAGGTATTACAAAGTTCAAATGGCAGAAGTCGAGTGACGACCACGGAACGTAATGCAGGCAGGCCCCACTCGGTGGACCAATAATCTAGTGAAAGTCGAGGAAAGCATCTGGATGCGAATAGCGCATAACTGGTTGTGGAGATACGTGGGAGAGGCTATTGTCCAGCGATTGCGCCTGATCCAAATAATCGAGTTCAAATTCACTTGAATATTTTGTTTTTCTCATTTTTATTTTAAAAGCGAATTGATAATATTGTATTAATTTGTTGTTTTGTATTTGGTTTAGATGTCCCTATAGTGAACTACCCCGAAATGGATTCGAACGACACACAGAGCACCACAGAGATGTTCAAAGACATGTTGAACCAAAAGAGAAATCTTCTGTTCAGCAAGTTGACATCCTTCGAGTCCGATGTGAGTATTCTTATTAAATTTACACAAATTATTGTTGTGTAACTGTTGCATGGTAATTAATTTGGTTTATACATGTGTATTGATGTTCAAAGTGTATACCATTCTCTTGAGCATGAACGCAGTGTCCTCACTATGTGTATTCTTATGCTCACTTATTTTTAATAATACCTATTGCTGGTACCTACTTAATATTACTAACGTTTATTTTATTGCAAAAATATATAAATTCTTCCGTAATTTTAATTGCCTTTAATGACAATCTTAAGCTATTTATTCGAACTAAATTATGTAATTGTCTGTACAATACATTTAAATTATTTTACTAAAAACTATTCTGTATAAATGTATACCATAAAAAATATTTATATTTATGATGTTGCATGATATATTTTCTAAATATTGTATCCAAATTCCATATGATTTGCTGCTATTCTTCCAAAGTGGCAGCATGCACCTATGACTCTTGATAACTTATGTGTTTTGAAGTCGTTGTCTCCCCTATTTCCGAGGAGCTGATGTCCATTCAACGGTTGAGTAAAAAGTATGGCTTGAAAATAAATTGGTACTAATAATTCAGTCGCGTTAGTAAAAGTATTTAATTACTGAAATTCCTCGCTATTCAAAATTAACACTTATTCGATTCGGATAAAGTCGGGTTTAGTAGAGCCATCCGGCAATGTGTAAAGGGCCCTTTGTGCGTGGCAGGCCGCGCCCTCGTCGGACTGCTCGGCCGACGAGAGCGGCTCGATCACCACCAACCGAGCCAATCTGTACGACCACCGCGCCTCGTTTAAGTCCAACCTCTCTGACACTGATGTCATGTTCCTCAATGTAAGTCCTAGTGCGTGTCGTGTCCTAGCTTACACCCATACCACAACGACGATCTGCCCATCGGAACGAAGATATAGAAGTAGCAATGACCCTTGTCGATGATGCTCCCGAAAATCATACGCTGTGTCAGCATATTTTGACAAGGTTTTAAGGGTAACTTAGAATATCGTTATTTTGTATCGATTATTATAGTTCGATTGTGCAAAAATCGCTTCTATATCCAACTATTACTACAATGGGTATATCGCTCGTCGGGTGCTGACATAATTATTAAGTCAATTTATACTATTAATCAAGTGTTTTATGCAATTTTTTTCTTGGTACATAATTATTTACCGAGAAGAATATAAAGCTAATAAATACTAGATCAGAGTATAAATTGATATAAATAAGTCACCCATCAAATATGTAGAACAAATGACAGCTATTTGTTGTGTGATTGTGCCTTAGTCCCCTACCGTAGTTACTGTCCGCTTATGCAATCGACAAATGGCCATACAAATTGGCAATATTTTTTGGAAAACAAAAATCACACAGGCTATTTGTCTAATGTAAATTAGTCTTGCATGGTAATTGATGCCTTCTCTGATATAAATGTAAATGATGTTGTCAATAATTATCCGTAAGTAAAGTTCATTTACAAACATACATTACTAATACAAAAACACAAACCATATCCCGACTGTAAGCAAAATAATAATGGAACATCCGACAAAGTATTCAACTTTGTACAATAGCCTGTAAATAAACAATAACATTTAATTGGCGGCGACAGTAACATAATCATCATTACAAACACGCTAATACTTTGCACGTAGTTGCTATTACTATGTAGAACTTATTTTTTAAAGAAATACGCTTCAATTCAGGTTGGCCGGGGTGCAAATGCTTCTGGAAAACCTCGCGCAGCCAGTGTATTCTCTTCCAAGTCCTCGCTCAGTGGGTATAGACCACCTGTGGGTGTTCCCACCACGTCACCTCTCACTTCACCCGATACAGCAAGGACTTATCTCTACCAAGGACTTATTGGTAAATAATTAATTGGCAATTACACTCAAACGATTCTATAAAAAAGAAACAATTACTTGACTGTGTACTTCCTTTATAGGGAAAGAGAGGTCGAATTTATGGGACCAAATGCAGTTTTGGGAAGACTCGTTTTTGGACGCGGTGAGCCAAGAAAGGGACATGATTGGCATGGACCAAGGTGCTAACGAAATGATGGAGCGGTACAAATGTCTGAGCGAGACGGAAAGAAAACGTCTCGAGCATGAGGAGGACAGACTTCTGTCAACTGCGCTGTACAACTTGACGGCAGCGTTGGTGTTGTTCGGAGTCGAACCTGACATAGTGCGGAATAAAGTCCGTCGGTTGCTCGCAAAGAGTCATATTGGACTGGTATACAGTCAAGAAGTTAATCATCTTCTCGATGTTGTGCATACTTTGGTAAGTCTTTTGATAAAACCTCTTTCAAACTCTTCTTGTCACATTATAACTGGGCACGCCCTGTAATGTGTTAAGGCTTTGATAATATTCCATCACTGTCTACAGTTGTATATTTTTTGATCACGCCTCTAATTACAGCACGGCAATGACATCGAGTTAAAGCCGCTTGGCTCGCGGCAGCTGCGGCGAGCGTCATTCACGGTGCATGAGGGTGACGCCAGCGGAGAGCTGCGGTTCATTGAAGTGCGAGACGACGGCCTCGTGCTGCGTTCCACGCAAGGTACGCCATACTATGTGCCTCGTATAGTTAGCCTTACGAAGCCACTTGCTATGATACTGTTTGGTGGCAATAGTGGCGCGCGTTGTTCACGATGAACCAAATCCCACGAGGCCGAATAGCCCTACAATGGCGCTCGATTACAGTGCACGAGAGCGACGCTTACATGTTATCTAGCTGCGTTATGCCGCGTCTACGCATTTGGACTAAGGCTTTGGGTTACCAGAGAATGATAAGCGTAGATGGATGGTTTTGTATTGTATCCCTGTAGCTTTCACATCAATCAAAATAAACAATAATTATTAACATTTCCACACTGCATAGGAATATGGATACTGAGCTTCAGAGGACTAAAGATGCTTTTACTTCTCTTGGAACTTAACAACTATCTTCTTATTTTCAGGTACCATCATAGAACGTTGGTGGTACGAGCGGCTGGTGAACATGACGTACAGTCCAAAAATACGAGTTTTGTGCCTTTGGAGGAAGAATGGCGGTCAGACGCAACTTCATAAATATTACACCAAAAAGGTAAAGTTTCTACTTTTATCTTGTGCTAAATATATGATTGTATTATGTGGTTTTCACCACAGTAGTCCAGCGGTGGTGGGGTTCGAATCTACGTTCCTCTGATCTCGCGTCTGCCATGCCAGTCCGATACTGACACCGTTGGGCTATTGTCGCTACTAAATTACCTGATAATGATGGTACTTGTGATTGTTTCCAGTGCAAAGCGCTGTACTACTGCATCAAAGAGGCCATGGAGAAGAGCGGCCGGCGGCAGGACGCGGCCGAGCTCGGCGGGGAGTTCCCCATACAGGACTGCGCCTCGGGCGAGGGCGGCCTCATACAGGTGCCGCATTTACAACTTTATTGCCTTGATTTAAGGTCGAAAATCAATAAACAACTAACTTGCTAGGATCGACTTAAAGTCTAAAAGAAAAAAAATCCGTTGCACATTTTCCTAATCATCCACCAAATTATTCTGAAGTGGTTATGACGAATATTCATACATTATTTTAACTTTCAAAGGTGTGCATGGAAGGCGTCGGACTCCTGTTCCACCACAGCAAGGTACGTCCCCCCGCTTTTTATGTGTTTAACTTTTTGTCGGCTTACTATGCTATTGCTATGATATACCAAAACGTTCCAATTATACTATAAAATTAAGTTTTGGTATTATCATATGAAAATCGATCAGGTAAGGTGTCTGTCAATGTCTCTGCTTAATTTGGATATCTCTTGGTACGGATTACTTGTAGAGTGACGTACAAGCGATTGTACGGCAGTCTACGGGAGGGGCCAGCGCTCTGCGGGGCAATGCTTCAGTCTCAATATTGTATCGGTGCCGTTAGCGCATTGTTTACATTACGAAGCTTCATCATCCGACGAAGACATTGATACATACTGATTGATAACATCATCAATAACCAGCTATACAATATACGCTGTCTCGATTACAGCTGTAGCTTAACTATTTTATAGACAATCCCCAGATATTTAATTACATTATCAGTTGGTCTATGAATAAACCCTAGTATTTATACCCGAATGCGAGGACCACTCAAATTTTCCTATTTCGATTTATCTTGATATATTTTTTTATTAATTTATTTATTGAAATATATGTATTTCTGTATTCGAATTTAAATACATTTGGACATTTTAGTTCACATAAAGTATCGTCTTCGAACGATTTTGCATTTCCTAATTATTTAATTAATTTATTGGTATACAGCTTATGTCGAATTAAGATCCAGTATTCTGCCCTTCGATATCTTTCTCTATTACTAATTCGATGTAATAGCTTAGATTTTTTACATTTTAAGGTAACCGTTGTCCATCTGATTTTCGTATACCTACTCCATACAGTCTGTGCATGCGCTACTTGTTGCATCGTCGCTGGAGCGGCGGGCGCGCGGCGTAGGAACTTTTGAGATGGTCCTTGGCACGCCTCGGCCGCCCTCAACTAATCTCTTCTTTTTGTCTGTTCTACTCTTCCCGGACACGCCGAACCCGCTGCGCTAAAGGATTTCGAGGTACACAGTGGTTCATTCACTAGTAATGGCGACCTTTACGACCTTTATGATCTCTGTCACGGTCACCGTGAGACGCGCTACTGGCGATGATCGTTCGAGGTCGTAGGGCTTTACTTGTAGTTTTGAGGCTTACCGATTGTTTTAGCCGTTGTTAGCGTTGTATTAGTTCTCCCGAGTGCGGCGAGCGCCGATGCGCGCGGTCGTGCATGCACATAGACGCCCTTTGTTTATTATCTGTTTATATTATCGCACCCGACAGCTTGCATTCGTTAACGTGGATCGTCCGGCGAGCGGTCTCGATATTAGCGCCCGCACTGTGCGGAGATTTAGTTCGTTCTCCCCTGTCACCCGGAACACGAGCGTCGCGTCGCTAGCTAAGACGCGGTCACGAGGTCAGTCGTAGAGCACTCGCCATCTCACAAGTTCTGTGCGGGCCGGCCGCACTCCCCCCGCGTCACTCCGCTGCCAGTACCGCCTCGTCGCCTCGTCGCGTCGCTCCTCACCCGCCGACTCCAATTGTTTTAATTCAACTCAGAAACGCATCGCGCATTCGATTTCAATTTAACTTGCACACGATGCGGTCGCTCGATGACGTATTAAAGTTTTTGTCGTTGAATTACAAACTGGTGTGCGACGTTCGGTGCACTAGCCACGGGACCGACCGCCAAGCCCAAGTGGCTAGTGGACCGAGGCCCAGTCTGCACTGTGCTGCTGGCATGGCATGTTGCATGAACGCATGAAACGCTTGCAGTTTTGGATTTGGAACTGACTACCTATAAATCTTGTTTAGATTAATTTGTCTACAGTAAACCAAAGTCTTAACTATTGAAAATGTAAATAATGTGTAACTCTTCTTATTTAATTTCGATTAAATATATTTTATTAGTCGAGTAAACATGTCAGATCCAAATAACAAATATTATGTTTAAGTAGATTGTTCCTCATTTTTAGAGAAAATCATTTACTTACACGTTACAAAATAGTAAAATAATAAATAATAGCAACAAATATTACACATAAACACATTTTGTTAGTGGCTGTAAAAATGTCGATATATGGATATGAATTAGTTGAATGTGAAAAATGTATGTTTATTTTATTTTTTATTTTCATTACTTAAAAAACATACAGCTTAAATGTTAAACAGATAGAATAGTAAAAATGTGTCACCTACTCGTATTATTTACTTATAGCCTGACCGGGAACATAAAAACCCTGGCATAGAGGCGCATCAATTGCATTTGATAGTGCAACACTGAGTACAGTCGTACCTGTGTTAAATTAATAGGCTAACTTTATGTATCAGGATTCAGGATTACGGGCTAATTTAATATTTTCATAAATTAACGAAAACATATTTATAACCATCAATCGAGCTAGTAGGATTTATTTTATTATTCATCAATAATCAAATTCAGAACTTGAATATTCAACTGCAATGTCTGCTCATGAACGCTTCAAACTCGGTACTTCTTTCCCAATTCCATAAAATTCAACACTTAGAAAGTGACAAAATAATTTTAAATAGGTAGTTGAAACAAACCACAGATAATTTTCATAGTCAGTCCACTATGAATGAAAATATTGTCCGAACCCTTGGTATTTCTCTTCGACAAATACTTTAACACATAGTGAACCACCTTTCTTTCACGACTATAAAAATATTTTAGCAATTTCATTCACAAAATCAATTGCGCACATTTAAAATAAAGTTTGTTTACACTTTGACAGCAATAGACTGACATGCAATGTGACATGTCAATAAAGTTTTTAGTTATTTTTGCCATTAAAAGAAATTAGTACCATTAGATTTCCGCAACATGGCGAGGGTTTTTATGTTCCTGGTCAGGCTATAATTGTGCTTGTTATAAACGGCGCTGAAGAATTCTTAAAATATTTGTTCAAATGTTAAAAATGTAGTGGGCTGTTTTTTTTTATTATACAAGGGTACATTAAAATCTATGCAAAAACATAAATCTTATCTTGGTGTAAATTTTCGAGATTAATTTGTTAAAAAAAATTGCGACAAGACAGCGAATGTAAAATTATCGGCTTAATATGCTCCTATTAATTAAAGACATGATATTAACTGTTGAGATCACACTGCGAAGTTGTGATGTACAAGCCCCGATGCTTATTTTCCATTTCTATTTATTTTTTTATGTTTGCTTCTGGCCGTGTTTTGACTTTATACATTTAGAATGCATGAGTTGTGATTAGGGTTTAGGTATTCGCAATAAATTTATTTAGGGTAGTTAATGAAATATAAATGTTTTGTAAGTAATTTAATTGAGTAGGTACTAATAATTCAAATAAATTATGTATTACAATTCAGTGTTTTTGATGCTTTGAATTAGATAACTAATTTGGTTAGCAGAAAAAACGTATGCATTATAGACTACTTAAATGACATACATTAAAATTAGTTTTATACAGGTTTGTACATCATGATTTTTTGTGTTTCAGTTTTTTGTGCGGCTTGATCACATTAGAAAATGCTTCACACAGAATGGCGGTATCTTCGTTTTAGAAGAATTTAGTAAGTACTTTTATTTTGTCATTTATATCACTAAACTTTCTTTCTGGGATATATTTACTAAGAACCGTTGAAATTGCACTCCTTAACCATATATCCACTTGTCTTTCAGATCCAAAAACCAGGCAAATTATCCAGAGAAAGTACAAATCCATTATGGCAAGTAACAAATATTTTGTGATCTGTTTTGTTTTTTTATTTTTGTTTCTGTTGTTCATTTACCTTCGTGTCTTATGTTGTAGGCAGAGAAAGTAGTGCTTGACCTCCATCGTTTCTTCTCCATATGGCTTTCTCGGTACTATGTCCAGACCAATGGAACTGAACTGAATTATGCACCTTACGTTTCATAGCCCATACCGATGTATGTACACTGTTTTTTGTTTTGTTTTTGCATGTTTTTCCCGCTTTTTTTTCCTCAAATATCTTTTTCTAAACTCTATATTTTTTCATTAGATATTTTATCTTTCTTTTCAAGTGATTCATTTAAGTACTTTATTTAAAATATATTTACGTACGTACTAACCAGGCTGTGAGTATGTTTTATGATTAATCTGAAGTTTAATATTTTACATACATATTTTATTTTTAAAAAACTGTAGTAATATTACTAACCCCATTTTTAAGATAGTGTGGGTTTAGCTTTTGATAAATAGGGCGTTTTAAAAGGCTTAATTTAATTAAAAAAAATGTTTTTATAATTAATTATTAAATGCTTGATTCGTTACAGTGTTATTTATACAGTATGCTTAAGTCAAAGGTTTCGTAAAAGTGATTAAAAAAAGACCAACGTAAATAAATACAGTACATTTTCTTAGATCCTGAATAATTAATTTCAGACAGTGGAATGTGGAGAGTGTAATAACCACCTATCACGCTAGCTTACTGTATGACTAATTACGCTGTGATATTTTTTTTATAACTAAGTATTAAGTTTAACCGCGTAGATAATGATCGGGATCAAATATCGCGTAAGCTGAGGGTCTTAATAAATAAATTGAAAAAAAAAGATTGATCCCATTTATTTCTGCGAAGGTTAAATCCTTAAACTTTTTTCGAAAATGCTTTCTATTTAAATATTATTATTATATTAACCTTAAGTTAAACTTAAATAAATATTTAACCTTATCATTCTAAACTGTGTACACTACCCAAAATATCTAATACGGTAATGTATGTTCAATAACCACCACAACCTCAACTTTATGCTCTATTTTATTTACTGTATTGCAATAAACTACGATAAAAAAATAAACACATCGATAGAATTTTACGCTCAATTGTTTTTGTTCATTGAAAAATCGTGTCTACAGACAAAATATACAAGAGCAAACCTGTTCAAGATAAATAATTACACAACCACAACCGAAACATCCACACACACTGTATAACATCTGTCGGGGTATTACAGGCGGACCAAATATGCTACGCGGTGTTGTGCGTCTTCTCGTACTTCGCGGCGGGGCAGGAGCAGAAGAAGGCCATCCTGGAGCAGGCGGCCCGCGTGCCCCCCGCGCCGCACCTCGCGCCGCCCCGCGCCTCTCACGCCTCGCACTCCGACTCCGAGCTGTCGCCCAAGAGGACCAGTCCTCAGGTCGGTCTTAGAAAAGATACTAAAGTGTAAGCTTAGCAGTCTTCTGCAACTTCGTGGCGGGGCAGGAGCAGAAGAAAGCCATCTTGAAGCAGGCGGGTAGGGTGCCTCCCACGCCTCGCACTCCGACTCCGAGCTCTCCCCTAAGAGGACTAGTACTCAGCTCAGTTTTACAAAAGATACTAAAGTGTATGCTAAGCAGTCTTCACGAACTTCGAACTTCGCGGGGCAGGAGTAGAAGAAGGCCATCCTGGAGCAGACGGCCCGCGTGCCCCCCGCGCCGCACCTCTCGCCGCCCCGCGCCTCCCACGCCTCGCACTCCGACTCCGAGCTGTCGCCCAAGCGGACCAGTCCTCAGGTCAGTCTTAGAAAGATACTAAAGTGAATGGTACGAGGTGTTGTGTCTTCTTATACTTCGCGGCGGGGCAGGAGCAGAAGAAATCCATCTTAGAGCAGGCTGCGAGGGTGCCTCCCATGCTTCGTACTCCGACTCCGAGCTGTCGCCCAAGCGGACCAGTCCTCAGGTCGGTCTTAGAAAAGATACTAAAGTGTATGCTACGAGGTGTTTTGTCTTCTTATACTTTGTGTCGGGGCCGGAGCAGAAGAAAGCTAGGCAGGCGAGTGAGAGTACCTCCCGCGCCTCCCACGCCTCGCACTCCGACTCCGAGCTGTCGCCCAAGCGGACCAGTCCTCAGGTCAGGTCTAACAAAGATAAGCTCTTTCAAATTACGCGATTTGAGCTGAACGTCAATCATGCCGTTTGCAAGTGTTCTTACCGCTTTCGGTCTTGCGCTCTAGAACCAAACAGAAAGCTCACGCAAGAGGAAACAGGTAACTTATAGGACCATCGAAGGCGTCTTCGCTATGCGCTCTATCACCAGAATTATCTGCCTGATATCATAAACATCTTCACGTAACACGTGATATTAACCTTGAACCGAGTGAGTTATTATAGGTAGAGTTTTCTGCTCTCAAAAGCCTTGTCGTTCGAGTCGACTCAGCGCTAAACGCCGAGCGTCTTTACGCTTATACAGTGTGAGTCAAGTTAAAGTGTACATATGAAAATATGTGAAACTAGACCTATTTTTATCGACAAAAAAGAGGTCAAAAAATTTTTGAGATTTTTTTTTAATTTTTTATAGAATTTTTTTTCTTCCAATTACTTCTCGTAAAGAAAACGTAATAACTTTTAAACTAAGAGGTTTATCCTGATAAAATAAAAACAGTAATAATGCTAAATAACAGGCGATACTAAAAAAATACATAAAATACCCAGAAAATGCCAATAAATAATAAAAAATGACACTTTTTGAAAAAAATCTGCTTAAAAATTCGTATTTTTTTGGTTATTTGATAAATTTCTCAAAAAAATGCTCCTATAATAGGTGGTTTTTATTACTTTGTATTATTCTCTATCGTATTATCTTTGTAAAACCAAAAATCGCATGTCTCTATCCCTATCACAACATTTGCTATGATCGTTTGAACAAAGGCCTGCCACAACATTATTCTCAAGTACAGGTAGAGACAATTTTAATTTAAACTAAAATGCTTATTTTACTTCGAAATCTTTGGTTTTTATTTGAAATCTAACTTGTCTTTATCAAATTACAAATCTAGAGCCATTTTCAGTTACGTTTTTAACGAAGCGTTGAATGGCGCGCCCGGAGAGGCTTAGTTCAAACGATCATTGCAAACGTTGTGATAGGGATAGAGACATGCGATTTTTGGTTTTACGAAGGTAATACGATAGAGAATAATACAAAGTAATAAAAACCACCGGTTATAGGGGCATTTTTTGGAGAAATTTATCAAATAACCAAAAAAACACGAATTTAAAAGCAGATTTTTTTCAAAAAGTATTATTTTTTATTATTTGTTGGCCTTTTTTGTGTATTTTATGTATTGTTTTAGTATCGCCTGTTATTTAGCATTATTACTGTTTTTATTTTATCAGGACATACCGCTTGGTTTAAAAGTTATTACGTTTTCTTTACAATAAGTAATTGGAAGAAAAAAAATTATATAAAAAATTAAAAAAAAAACTCAAAAATTTTTTGACCTCTTTTTTGTCGATAAAAATAGGTTTAGTTTCATCTATTTTCATATGTACACTTTAACGTGACTCACACTGTAGTATTCAGCTAAAACCATCACAAGTTATATCCTCCAGAAATCCTATCCCTGCCAGCCCTCGTTAAAAACGAAAAATATAACGATTACTTCTTTTACATACTAGGTGGAGAGAAAATCACCCGTCAACCGTGCGGGTGAGGCTCGGGCGTCGTTCGCCAAGGGCGAGGTCCCAACGGCGGTGGAGCCGCGAGAGCCGCCCGACCGCACCGGCCCCGACCGGCCGCGGGACGAGCCCAGGCCGGTCGACGCGCCGCGGGACGTCCCGGACAGGCTGCGGGACGCCCCGGACAGGCTGCGGGACGCCCCGGACGGGCTGCGGGACGTCCCGGACAGGCAGCCGCGGGACGCCCCGGATAGACAACCGCGCAGCTTGCCGGCCCAGCCGGACAGGCCGCGGGAGGCGCCTGGGAGGGAGACGGAAGCTGAGGCTGTGGAGGTAAAATAGCCCTTCATTTTTCCAAGATTTTTTGATAAAATCGCTGTATTATTATTATATTAGTGTTCCTTGTACATTAGAATCATCTGTAGCCAAGTTTGTGCATACATTGTGCTTTTAAAGGTGCAAGCTCAAAATAATAATCTACGTAATGCGGCAAAGATACCGAGTATACTTTCTCTGATTTCCATTGCGGGTAAATCCATATAAAAACAAATTGCTATCTAACAGGTATCGATATCCCAATCGTTTGGTTTTGCTCACCTAACCTCAGCGTGCTTACCATGAGTTTAGATGTGCTCGTTAGTTAGTGCGTAAAAAAAATGTATTAATTATTAAGATTTTAGTTCTTGAAAGTGACTATTAGGCGGTTATCACACTGCGCCGCGCTCCGCCGCGGAGCGCGGAGCGACAGATTTAATCATTGTATGCAAGTACCTCAGTTTGTATAGAAAACACGCGCGGCACTTCACACTGACAACGCGTCCGCGCGCGTGATTATTTGTATGAAAATCACGCGCTCCGCGGCGGAGCGCGGCGCAGTGTGATAACCGCCTAATAGTCACTTTCAAGAACTAAAATCTTAATAATTAATACATTTTTTTTACGCACTAACTAACGAGCACATCTAAACTCATGGTAAGCACGCTGAGGTTAGGTGAGCAAAACCAAACGATTGGGATATCGATACCTGTTAGATAGCAATTTGTTTTTATATGGATTTACCCGCAATGGAAATCAGAGAAAGTATACTCGGTATCTTTGCCGCATTACGTAGATTATTATTTTGAGCTTGCACCTTTAAAAGCACAATGTATGCACAAACTTGGCTACAGATGATTCTAATGTACAAGGAACACTAATATAATAATAATACAGCGATTTTATCAAAAAATCTTGGAAAAATGAAGGGCTATTTTACCTCCACAGCCTCAGCTTCCGTCTCCCTCCCAGGCGCCTCCCGCGGCCTGTCCGGCTGGGCCGGCAAGCTGCGCGGTTGTCTATCCGGGGCGTCCCGCGGCTGCCTGTCCGGGACGTCCCGCAGCCCGTCCGGGGCGTCCCGCAGCCTGTCCGGGGCGTCCCGCAGCCTGTCCGGGACGTCCCGCGGCGCGTCGACCGGCCTGGGCTCGTCCCGCGGCCGGTCGGGGCCGGTGCGGTCGGGCGGCTCTCGCGGCTCCACCGCCGTTGGGACCTCGCCCTTGGCGAACGACGCCCGAGCCTCACCCGCACGGTTGACGGGTGATTTTCTCTCCACCTAGTATGTAAAAGAAGTAATCGTTATATTTTTCGTTTTTAACGAGGGCTGGCAGGGATAGGATTTCTGGAGGATATAACTTGTGATGGTTTTAGCTGAATACTACAGTGTGAGTCACGTTAAAGTGTACATATGAAAATAGATGAAACTAAACCTATTTTTATCGACAAAAAAGAGGTCAAAAAATTTTTGAGTTTTTTTTTTAATTTTTTATATAATTTTTTTTCTTCCAATTACTTATTGTAAAGAAAACGTAATAACTTTTAAACCAAGCGGTATGTCCTGATAAAATAAAAACAGTAATAATGCTAAATAACAGGCGATACTAAAACAATACATAAAATACACAAAAAAGGCCAACAAATAATAAAAAATAATACTTTTTGAAAAAAATCTGCTTTTAAATTCGTGTTTTTTTGGTTATTTGATAAATTTCTCCAAAAAATGCCCCTATAACCGGTGGTTTTTATTACTTTGTATTATTCTCTATCGTATTACCTTCGTAAAACCAAAAATCGCATGTCTCTATCCCTATCACAACGTTTGCAATGATCGTTTGAACTAAGCCTCTCCGGGCGCGCNTACACTTTGTTATTCTCTACATTAGATATGTCACCGTAAAATTGTGAATTCTGTCAGATTATAATCTGACGTAGTTAAATTACAATCTAACCTTTTTTTTTTTCGTCAGGAAATGCATAAAATTGCATACCCGGGGGAACCAGTGGGTTATGTAAGGCTCTCCCTGCCAGATGGGCAGGGCCTACTCACTAAAACCTGACGGTGTCCTCCCGAAGTCTTTGGGACGGTGGTGCGAGTTATTGTCCGAGCTAGGCGGCCTAGACATTCTTTCGCGGCTCCGCCCCAATTACAATCTAACCTAACCTATAACCCACTGTTAGTTTACAATCTAACGCGTTTATTATAAACTGACAGAGTTCACAATTTCACGTTGACAGATACAGTGTCCTCTTCTTCTTAGTCGGGCACTCTTGTCAGAGTGGTCGTGGTTGCGCTGACGAGGTACTGGTGGGGTGATGTCATCTCCGAGGGTAGCTTCCATTTCTGACGGTTAGAGGCGTCGCACAACAGATAAAGATAGCGTAGAGATACAGTGTACCTGTCTACAAAATAGTTTCTTCTTTATTCTATCACATTAGGTTATTAATAAAATTGACTTGTAAAGATAGTAAAAGTTGGTCAAAATAAATAAATAAAATTATTTTAGCCAAATTACTCCCAATCAGGGATTTATTGACACTCACTCATTAGCCTCTGCTTAATAAATATCATATTGAATTCACAAAAGCTGTATGTAACTCCCGGCATATCTGCAGCAGCCCGGAAAAAGTGCTGGTTGCTGGATGACCTGAGTCGGTTTGAGTAAAAAGAAAGCAAACTCACGCAGTGGTCTAATAAAAGGGCAAAGTGCCGAAAAAGCCGAGCTAACTCGTTGGAAATCGATCCTTCTTCTCTTCGAACTCCTATGTTTTTCAGATTAATTTCGTTGCGGGTCCAATAACGGTTTAACTTCCCCCGGGCCAAAGTCGGATTCATTGGTAGGATTTTTAGCGGTCAAGCTGTTTGAAGCTGTAGATCTTGGTTACACAGGAATTACAGCGGTCAGCGGAGGGAACTTCACGCGTTAAGCCGGGTACTCATCGGGTACACATGGTTCGTAGGCGAAGCACGTACACACTATGTTTTTACAGTGCATGCAATGGTTACGGTTACAGCTCGCTAATGAGTACCAGGTTTTAACTAAGTAACTGCCGACAGATCCCGCCGCGAGTGGGCGGGGCCGCGGTGCGCGCGTCGGGCCCGCCGCCCGCGCTGCCGCCGCGCCAGCTGTCCGCCGCCGCGGACCTCGCCGGGCCCAGGTAAACTGGAATATAGGTATAACACAACTTATATTGTAGCGTTATTCATCCGATAATATTAGTGTTTGCTGATAGATAATGCAATCTTGTAAGATTTTAAACAAGATCTTTCAATAAATGTCAAGATTTACGAGACATTATTAGAACGATACACAAAATACGATTATATTTCTAGTTGACATTAAGGCTTTGACTGGAATTCAATATTGAGACCAAATCCAATCAAAACATTTATTCAGTAATTGCTTATTAGGCCCTCTCCAAAGCACTCGTACACGTCTCAAATAAGTATAGCCTGCTCTACCACCACTTCGGGATAACACGTGGATTGGTGCTGGGACAGAATCTATGACTAAGATTGAATGCTGACATTTAGAGTATTGTCTTGTGATTCGGACCTTAGTATCCTCGCGAGATTGAGCGAAGGAAGAGATGAAGCTGTAGGATCTTTTTTCTTAGCTTTAACCGTAGCCTTTAGCCAGCGGTTCCCAAACTTATTTTGTCTACTGCCCACTTTGAGAATACATTCTTTTTAGCGCCCCCATTTGTAGTCGAGTGTCGAGTGCTCAGTCGGTGTCTAAGAGTCCTCCTAGTAGATGACGCCTCCCAAGCCTCTACACAACGTCCCGATTTTTTTTCTGGGTCTCTTACCGCCCCCCTTTAAGCCTGCAGCGCCCACAAGGGGGCGTTATCGCCCACTTTGGGAAAGACTGCTTTAGACGAACGAGATTGCATTCCTTGTAGCTGCTTTTCAGCCACTGCCCTCCTACGGTATACCTAAACCCTTGGCTTTATTGATCCAGATCGTCGAGCCCGGTCCGCGCATCACGGCAGGCGTCCGTAGGCGCGCCCTTCGCGGCGTCGAACCCGTTCACGACGCCGCGCCACGCCGAGTTTGTCATCCCGCAGAGAAACAACGTGCGCCGCTCCTCCACCACAGACAGAAACTAAACCACTTGCGCTCACTACGAGACACGAGAGTACATTGGGTAATTGACACTTAACCAATATTCGCAAACACTATTGTTTTAACTCAACTACTCCTATGCTAATATAAAGTTACACGCACGTTGACCACTTGTTCAAAATGTAATGCAATAAAAATTTGAATTAAATATGTTATTTCCATACTAGTGTTCAACGTGCGTTTAACTTTTATTAGTAAGCCAGCTAGTTTTCAATTAACTGTAAAATTGAGTTCGAGTTGTTTTGAAAAAATTACTCACATATATTACACATCACAATATTGACTAAATAGTTAATATGAATTTTCATTTAATTTTTTCTGAATTTTCATTTCAGCGAGTGTAGTATACGTCGCTATACAGGGTGGAAACGATAAGTGATTTCACTCGATTATTTCTAAACTATACAAGATATCAATAAACTAGTTATTGATCCTGAAAGTGCTTCATGAGCTCTATCAAACGGTATTAACACTAGAGTACACGCGCGGACTACTATAGTAGACCAGGGTAACATTTTACGCTATAACTTTTTGAAAACTTGCGCCAGAGAGCTGGCATTCCAGGAAAGCCTCGTTTACTAAATTTGTCAGTAAGCCAGTAAAGCTTGGGTCGCTAGAGTCTGCGCACTTTTCTAAAATTTGCCGTCCAAACTGCGGGTTTACTCAAAAGCCTGAAATCACTCGACAAAAAAATTATAAAAGACTTGCAGCAAATGGATTTACACAGTGTACCAGGCCGTAGAAAGTAATGAATACTATGAAAGATAAAAATCTAATCATATTTTTTCAGTAAATTTTTTTTGTTAACATTGGTCTCAGAGTGCAATTTTGGTCCAAAAAATTTACAACTTTTAAATCTATTTATAATGTTTGATCCCAAATAGTTATATAAAGAAACTTTGATAATAAAATAACTATAATAAACACTTTTATCATTTACATAATTATTTTATTCATAAATTGCTTACAAACTGATTTACAGTGATTTTAAATTGGCTTACCAGAGTAGGCCGCGCGTGTATTCGTGTAAAAAAAGGGGCGCGTGTACTGCAGTGTTAATAATAGGTTACAGAATAAACTGGATCTATCCGAAACTTCAATGTTTCCAGCTTCCATACATTTGGTAAAGTCACATTATTTTAAAAACTACATATGATATCGTAAAACTGATTACTGATTCTAAAAGTGCTTCACAAGCTCTATCCAATAGTATCAATAATAGGTTACAGAATAAACTGGATCTAACCAAAAATTCAATGTTTCCTTCTTCCATACATTTAGTACTACCACAGTCATGACATTCATCTCTTGACAATATTATAGCAAGTAAAGCCTAAAACCAATGTTTTTCATCAATAATTTAATACAATTTACGAGTTTATTTTAAGTATTCATTATTAAATTTAAAAAAATTCACTTCTAATATTGTGTGTCTGGCATACATTTAGTATGGAAGCTGGAAACATTGAATTTTCAGATAGATCCAGTTTATTCTGTAACTTATTGTTGGTACCGTTTGAAAGAGCTCATTAAGCACTTTCAGGATCAGTGACCAGTTTTTTAATATCTTGTATAGTTAAGAAATAATCGAGTGAGATCACTTAACGTTTCCACCCTGTATACCTAATTCATATATTCTACATACCGTTATATTTACGGCTAAAGTATGAAGTGATGTCAATTACCTAAGTGTTGTGTTGCGAGATATTTGTCTAATAGTGAGTACCTACGAGGCTTCAAAGCGAATTTGTTATTCGACTTTTTAATTTGATATAAGAACTACCTATAAATAAACCAAATACATACCATAATGTCTACGATCAAATTTTAAACTGATACAAAATGGGCGGTAATTTGACCTTCGCATTTTATGCCAATTTATCACTCATCGGTCGAGGGTAAAAATTAATCCATTGGTAATTTCGACTCACGGTACAGTGACACAGTCAGACAGTCACAGTAACAAAATGGGAATCTTATGTCAAATTACTTAATTGAATAAAAATCCACATCATCATCATCCGTGGCCCGTTTGCGTCGCTAACCTGTCTGTAACCATATCTGTGATTGTAAGGTGATGTATTTAGCTGGAACGGTACAAGTCATAGAAAAAAGTTGATACCAATCACAAGAAAATTTGTTTGGCGATTGTGCTAACTTATTAGTTAATTGTAATTCCCTAAAGATCCACTAGCTAAAAGTTTACAGTTGGGCTGCTTTTGAGAAGATGCCTAGCTGGCATCGGTTTTATTAGGGTAGTAGTACTTTTTTGAGGTCACACAATATATTTGACAAATTCTCAAATTAATGAAGCGGCTGTAAAACCATTGTATTTCATTCCAGATAAATAAATTACCAATAACTTTAATCCAAATTTTATCAATTAGGTGACAGGTCTCATTTTTTATCCGATAAAAAATACTCTTCACTAGAAAAATTATGATAGCTCGTACATTTTATTTAACTATTTGGTTTTAAGTAATATCTTTATTTAATTTGGGATCTGTCATCTCATTGTTATTATTAGTCAAATAAAGAATATATTACTAATATATGCCAATACATATTAATCGTTTAAAATACGTTTAAGAGAAGCGACGTGCGAAGATAGATGCACTAAAAGAACTTTAGTCTAATAAATGTTAGAGACCTGTCAGTGTTCCTTATGATGGTAATTATCGAATTTTGCCATAAGTCCTTAGTATTTTAGCCTGTTGTTAAAAAAACTACATAAACTATAAAATAATATATGCTGCTATGCAAAGATTATGAAATATTTATTTATTAGAAGTTGTGTTCATTTGTAAAATTATATACTTTTTTGTAGAATTAGCTATAGCACTTATTATATTATGTCGCCTTCCTTAAGTATTTGTTATATTTTGATTTATAACCAATATAAAATATTATAACCCTTGGCCATAAATACACAATAAGCACTGGAATTTCCAGGAATTTGAACAATAAAATGTGTCTATAAAAACATGTTTTTCAATTTTTCCTACTATTTAATAGAACTTTATTAATATTCATAAAAATCAAGAAGTGTATAATAATAATAATAATTGTCCCGACAGTTGTCTCGACAAACGGGCTAATAGCGAAGAGCTTCGACCAACATCTAAAGAAGCTCTCGCTGGATAGCTGGCTCAAGGGTCAGATACAAAATTAAAAGGCGGTGATCCTCAGCATGGCATTCGTTGTCCGGAGGTTCCTCAGCCTGTGACCCTGACCATCGGTAGCTTGGGCCCAGTGTTGGCACTAATCAATTAATTTTTTAATCAATTAATTAATTTGATTAATTTTAATCATGATTAAATTAATCCTGATTAAAATAATCATGATTAAAAAAGTAATCATAATCATGATTACTTTGTTAATCATTAATCAATAATCATTAATTTCATTAACTTGATTAACTTCTTAAATGTTCTATCGAAAATAATGTTAAAACATTGAATTCTAATATTAGATGTTTGGTTTTAGGCTACAATTCTATGACAGGTCATACCTAGATAAATATAAGGTAACCTAGACTGCCCCCCACCCCCTTCCCTCGCTGAAACTTCCGGTGCAGTCTTCCGACCTCCCGTAGGAGGATATCAGTCCACTTCCCCTACCGTTCCAGCACTTACTTGCAACCCCACACTCCCACCACCTGCCCCCCACCCCTAGCCTCCCCTGAAACTTCTGGTACGAAGTCTCCTGCACCTCCCCAACACGCAAAACCTCCTAGCTTAGCAACCCCACCTTTCTGTTGAATTGCCCACGCTTGCCCCTACCTTGGGAGGGGGACTTCTCCCCTATCGTCAGCCAGCCCGCTTAACTTCTTTCCTGACACCCAATTTTGCTGGAGGATACCGGAAGAATAGAAGGAATTGTGAGAAACAAAACTAGTGCGACAAGTGTTTTGAGTAGTGAAAATTGACGCAGTTTTTTGGGAAAACGACAGTACAACTCCAGATCCCCCCTTTGCTAGACATTTTATAAGTCGCGGGTACCTTTTCATACACCCCCAACCCTTTTCTTATGAAAATAGTAGATAGTTAATCAAATAATCAAATTAACGATTAATGATTTGATTATGATTTTAATCATTAATCAGATTAACTTTTTGCCAACACTGCTTGGGCCCTGCTCCGCTGCCAGCGGATTAACTATTTTTAAGTCTTTTTTTTATAATGTATTTTTATTTTTGATAATTTACATTGTAAAAAAATATTTAAAATTAAGAAAGAAAATTGAATAGAGATAATAATAATAAATACTCTTTATTGCACACCAAAGAACAGAACAGAAAGAAAAGGAACACATCATAAGGTACAACTAAGCGGTCTTATCGCTATGAAGCGATCTCTTCCAGACAACCTATGGAGAGGACAGTTACTTAAAACAAATATGAAGGGGAAGGCGGTGTCGACACTAATGAAATAAATAATAATAAAAGGCATTAAATTAATATTAAATACATATAATTAAAACAACTGTCCTCTAAGTTGCCTGGAAGAGATCGCTTTATACCGATAAAGACCAATATTAACTAAATTGTGCAGTATTTTTTGTATATTTAATTCTTTTTTTTTTGTCGCGGGTGGTGTAAGTACAGCAGTTTTCCGCTTTTTTGTCGTATTTTTTTAAAACTAAGTAAATACCTAATGATAATCTTATTTTTTCTGAGGTACACCATCTAATGACCGTGGTACACCGTTTGCAGAACACTGGTGTACAATAAAGTGTGTTCTGGGAAAGTGCAACTTGTTTGTAGCCTTTTTTTGTATGGAATTTTAACGGATTCGATCAAAAAGTGTAACTTGTCTAGGGGGCTGATTTAGTGCTCAAATACAATTTTTTGTATAGGACCAACATCGAAATTTAAAAACTTCGAATCGAAATTCTATAAACATCGTAGCAAGGTTCTTTCCTCTAGTGAGTAGTGGGAAATGAAAAGCATGGCAATAAATACCTAAGTTTTAGACTGCTAGTGATGCAATTTTTTCGTACCCTTTTGTAGATAGAACCATATTTTATGTGTCTGTATGAAAGAAGATCTGGTGAAGGTCGCGGGAGGTACCTGGATGCAAGCGG